CTTACGGATGAGAACACAGCAAAGCTTGTTTATTTCAGCTATTTTCATAGTATTATGTCATATGGTGTTATTTTGTGGGGTAATGCAGCTGACATTAAATCGGTATTTGTAGTGCAAAAGCGGGCTATAAGAGCGATCTGTGGGTTGTCCCCACGGGAGTCGGTCCGAAAGAAGTTAAGGAATTACATATTTTGACTCTGGCAAGTCAATACATTTATGAGAATATTTTGTATGTGCGGAAAAATATAGATATTTTTAAAAAGAATAGTAGCTTCCATAATTATAGTACTCGTAATAAAGACAAAATTAGCGCACCAACCAGAAGGCTGCATAAAACGAGTAATTCTTTCCAAGGCAATTGTATACGTTTTTTTCAATAAAATCCCTAGTGAGATACAAGTGTTGTCAATAAATAAATTTAAGTCGTACATTAAAGTAAAACTGCTTGCTAAGGCCTATTATAATATAAATGAATATTTAAACGATCCTAGTGCTTGGATATAAGTTTCTCCAGTATAAATAGGTAACGCGACTGAATCTCTCGGCTGCATTTCCAGACTCCGGGGCGATCGTCAACATCCACGACTGTATTAATGTAAAGTGGGAACAAACCGTGATCCATGTGGTATCAAATTATTTCAGTATTATTATTATTTTCTTATGTAGACAAGTCCACATTTCAAGGATCGTCATGCTCGCTTAAATGTCATTGCTTGTGGCGGCGTCCATGCGTCGGGTTGTCTCTCTCCCTAAAATATTGCGAGGGGGCCGATGGCTGGCCATGCGTCATACTCGTGAACGGGTGCTACTGGTCGTACTTGAATTCGTGTATGCGGTGATGTTAATTATTTCGACTATGTGTTTGCGTGTTGTTCCCACGAGAATGTAAGTGCGTGCTCCTATTTCACCATGCCTCCTGCTGATAGAGGACAAGTCTTTGTTTTTAATTTATGTTATTATTATTAATTACTTAAGATGTCATGTGGAAGAGTTGTGTAAAAAAAACATGGCGATTAAAAAGAGTGGCGGAGAGTTTATTGCCAGTTCTTCTCTTCCGTTCTACGCCCTTGATTTGAGAACTGGCAGTAAATGTAAAATTAGAAGCATTAATATGTATTTCTTTAATGACGAATCACAAGTGTACATTGTGTTACCTACGTGAATAAATGATTTTTGAATTTGAATTTGAATACATAAATCAGAACTTTTTCCATATACATTGCAATTATCTATATAGGACGAGCGACAAACCGTTGCTTTTACGCGCGCATATTTTAAAATGAGCACGAACTAAAAACCGCGAGAAACGGCTAGTTGTTAGTAGTAGAATATGACTAATTGGCAGTGGTGGCGGTGAAGTCACCCAAATAAAGATTACTGCAAAAAGCAAAGATTTTTATGCCAATATCACCCAACGACGGCCAAAATCATCACAAACACGCATTTAATTATTAATCTACCACTAAACATATATTGATTGACTGTTATACTTTTTGCAAAATAATTATTAAATGTGTAACGTATCCTGGACTTTTAATTCATTGACAAACCGAAGATGGCAAGAATTCATTAAAATTTCTCATTTAAAGACGTCGTCCAAGTGGCACAGATGTACTTTACCATTTCACTTCACTTCTATAACCCGAAATATCTTCCAATTTCATTTTGCAGCTCATCTTAGAGACTAATCTAGGTTAAATATCGTTAAGGAAAGTACTAATTAAATACTAATAGGAGACGAGAACTTCTGTGTAGAATATTATGAAATAAATAATTTATAGTATTATTTTGAGTTCTACTTATTTAACTTGCGGCCCTATAGTACCTAGAGTCCTACACAGAATGGCTAGACTGCAATCGGCTGCAGGGCCCGAACAATCTTGATATTTTTTCGGATCGCCTGTCCCATTACAGGAATCACAGCATTCTGTAATTTTTTAAACTTTCTTAGGGTTTTCCCCTTTATAATTTAAGGTCCATTGTTTTGTAATCATTTAATAATAAATTTCTTTGTAAACTTATTAATTGCAAGCATTATGAGTAATGTTGGCCTAGTGGCTTAAGCGTGCGACTCTCATCCCTGAAGTCGAAGGTTCGATCCTCGGCTGCACCCAATGGAAAGTCCATGTGCGCATTTAACATTTGCTCGAACGGTGAAGGAATACATAAGCATAATTCGTGATGAAACTGGCTTGCCGTAGACACAAAAAGTCGACGGCGTGCGTCAGGCACAGGAGGCCGATCACCTACTCGCCTTTTAGATGATCATAAAACAGATATATCTGAGGCCCAGACTTAAAAAGGTTATAGTGCCACTGATTTTTTTTTCATTTTTATATTAAAAATTCACATTGCTTATACATTTTATAACTTATTTATTTCTTGTTTTCAGTTGTTTTGTTATGTTATGCCTTGTTGGCGCGGCTATAAATAAATCAATCACTGGTCTGTCATATTCGATGTCATGAATTAGTGATCATGATTAGAGTCACGTCCTTTATATGTGAATGTATGAATGTTGCTTTGCATTCAACGCAATATACGAGATAGGTTTGAAATTGTCTTGCTTGAAAAATATTATAATTTATACTGCGAGTTTAAAATTCAAATGCAATAAGCAAGTTAGATACGACGAGAAGACGTCGATACGATTACGGTCAAATCGATCTATTCATATGCAATATTCTGAATGAATGAATCATGAAATAGTCTTCTAATAAATACAACTCAATGTATAGCATTGGTGACAGGATGATACGTATTACTTAAGATAAGTTCTACTTATTAATTGTGTCTCAATTGACTCTTGGATTAGCTTTTACATTTTTGTTAATCCATATAATTATATATTTTTTTATTTCTTTAGATTTTACTTTGTAATAGTTATAGTTGCATGTTATTTTTAGTATCTTTTTGTTAATTAATTATGCATCTCTTGTACTTTACCCTCTGTAGGTGTTTCTTTTTTTCTATTGATCCGTTTTAGGGTTGCCTGGACGATATCGCTTGTTAGCGATAAGGCCGCCCGTTGCAGCCTAATAATTTATGTAACCTGTTTTTTTATATGTATAAGGTAACAAAGTGTAAATAAATAAATATTTAAAGACCTTAACTTTGTATTGTGTTCTTCTTCTAGCATTCCTCTGTCTGCTTATTATTCACGGATGGATTCATAGTAAGCGTTAGGTCATGAGGCCTGGGGCCTTCTGGCTTTATCAGAAATTTTACATTTTGTTACAATGTCTTTTGCTTACGCAAAAAAAATCTACTTATTTTAATTTTATGTTTACCAAAATTGTCATACATTTTAAAAAAGATTGTTATCATATACTCACTATAGATATAGCATAATGTATGACGTGTTAAACTTCAATAAATAAATATATAAAAACTGATCAAATCAATAACTTTTATAACGCTAACACTATATCTATATTAATACTAGTTGATCCGGCAACTGTTGCTTTACCATGCATGTTATTTCTAGAAAACATTTTTTTAGTTCAATTAAAATAACTATCTTCTATAATAAAAAATAGGGGTTGATCGTAGAGGTGTGAAAATCTCTAATCTCTATCATAAAAAAATAAAACAAAAAATTTTGTTTAAGAAATAAAAATTTGGGATGGACAACCCTTAATATTTAGGGGGATGAAAAATAGATGTTGTCCGATTTGCAGACCTAACCGATATGCACACAAAATTCCACGAAAAACCGGTAAGCCAGTTCGAAGGACTTTAATTACCAACACCGTGACGCGAGAATTTTGTATATTAGATACCATCACTGCAATGTCTGGATTGAATAGGCAACATTAAGGTATAATATCAAATAGATATCAGTGGATACAGCAGTCTTTCGCGCACGATTGCTGAAAAACACTTGAAGTATTGTAAGTGTTTAGAGGAGTTGTTTGGTCTAATAGCTGAGTTTCACTATCGGAAGCCAAGGCAGAATACAAAATACCATCCGTATTACCTCGACGTCTATCGTTCCACAATTGAGCGACTCTTAAGACAGTTTTTGCCACGCACCACCACTACGTGGAACCAGCTGCCCACTGAAGTATTTCCGAACCAATTCAACTTAGTGTCTTTCAATAAAAGAGCGTACCAATTCATAAAAGGCCGGCTACGCACTTGCGAGCCTTTTGGCAATGTGGGCGGCGGCGGTGAGCCTTCTATTACCTATATAAAAAAATATATAAAATTTTGCGTTTATTATAGAAATTTGGTTCAATCAGTGCAATTAAACTTAGTTCTACTGTGGTATAAGAGCACAACTTTCATATAATTTCTATAACAATTATGGTAATGTTGAAAATTATAAACTCAATTCTACAATATGACGAGGTGTGAATTAATTAAGAACAACAGGATAACTTTGTGAATAGGTAAGATTCGCATTTCCATAATAATACTATGCATGTGGATCTCCGTAATTGGAATTTTCCTTTCGGAAAGTTGAAGAGAAGTTGGCCTGATTTTCTATTAACGTATTAAAGGTATTTCTGAATTGACTTTGCGTTATGCTATGATAATATTCTGAAGGCAGCTCAATATTTCAATATTTAGATTGCAATAACTGAAGACTATAAAATTAAAGTGAATATAGTAATTTTATTGAAAATACCTGTTTTATTCCTCCTTAAACCGTCATGACCCTAACCCATTATGATAGATGCATGCATATTATGTAATTGTTTAGATAAAATAATATTATTACTAATATATAATATTTATTAATTCATAATATTTATTAATAATATTAATAATAAGGCCGTGACGGGAATAATGGGACTTAATTAGGTTGTGTGAATGTGATTTGCCCCCGTTTTCACTTAAGTACATGCTTGCTACATTATTTATTAAGACCTAATTTTTTTAATAGAACATCATTTAATTTTTGTTTTATATTTTGCGATGGGATAAATAAATTAAACATACTCACTTGTAATAAATACATTTGACTAGTTCTGGCATGACAGTTTACATTACTATTAATACTTTAACGGATCGGGTCCATACAGCTGCCTTGCGCGTCTTGCACCAACTACAATGCCATCCCAAGTTTCGTCCACCACATGGCTAATGTACCTTGCACTGAGCGAGAAACCCAAAAGTCCTCTACCGAGACCAGGCAATTCATATGTAAAAGCCAGAGGAAGACCTATATAGTGCGCGTAATCTTGAGAAGACCCTGAGATAGCATATCCAACCACTAACTTAGAATTTCCAGCTGTGTAATTTGGAAACTCCGGTAATTTCTTAACCTGAATGGCCGTAATCATATTAACAGCTGTTGTCTGCTGAGCAAAAGCGTAGTTTGATAGACTGCCATCGTGGCCCCACGAGTACAGAACCATGCTTCCGTAACTATGCATACTAAGGTACATGACCATTCTATTCAGGTTCTCATGAAGGATGTCCCGTATGACCCTTGTTTCTACTTCTGAGAAAACTTTGCGGCCAGGATAGGTGTTTGCACAAGGATCAGAACTAACACCAATAGTGTTCCAGACGAAATCAAAGTTGCGGTTTCCATCAACGCCAGGGCAGCGTTCGCCGTCCTCATGGTCAGTTGAGCGGGTTTTGCGCCAAAAACGAGTCTGTTAATAGAAATAAAGATACCAGATTAGCCAATACAAAATTTAATACAATTTATTCGGAAATTATATAATATATAATAATTACTACCTACTAGAGTCAGTGCTAAAGAAACTATTTTATCGCTTGGTAATTAATACGAAATTTAATCTTCCCCCAAAATTCTTTGATCAATCATAATCAAGCGATACCTTCGATTCGTTTGATCGATCGTGTAAACGTGAGTAATGAATTGAAATCATCTGCCTTAGCTAGTATTGATATTCCAACCCTTCCATGGTAATTATTATTACTATCAGTTTTTATTTCTATAAAAAAACGCAGTGTCGAATTGGCCTGGTGGTTGAAACCACTGAGTCGCTCGCTTAAGCATGCGACTCTCATCCCTGAGGTTCAATCCCTGGCTGTGCACCAATGGCCTTTTTTTAACACTCGCTCGAACGGTGAAGGAAAACGTGAGGAAACCGGCATTAGAACTAAGTCAACAGCGTGTGTCAGGCACAGGTAGCTGATTACCAACTTGCCTATTAGATTGAGAAATGATATTATTATTATTATTTTAAATAATTCACACTTACACCATTATGAGTAATAGCATATCCATCCGGATTGGCAACCGGCAAAATGATCCAATCAAACTTTTCAATCATATCAGCATTTGTCACATTCTCTACAAGTTTGTGGATAGCATATGTCGCCACTGGCGGAGTTATCCATTCTCTCGCATGAATTGCTGCCTCAATGAAAACTATTGACTTAGACTCATCCTCGAAGTTAGTGGAAGATATTTTCAGGTATTTAATGGGACGACCTTCAAATGAATGCGCGGGCGTCTCTAGCTTAACCAGATTTGGATACTGCTCCGCAATTCTGTCCAGGTAAGCGTAGATCTGAAAGGTGTCGAACAGAACGATATATTGACCTTATTACAAACCAATCAACGAAATAAGTTTATTGATAGAAGAGAAGCTTGGTTTATGTCGCTATGTTAGAAGTAGCCGAAGGATATTCGAACACACTAATCAAGATCGACATTACTGACGATAGCATAACGGTAACAGCACAGTAATGTTAAACTGACTTCCTACCCAGTGTGATGCCAGTGTCAAATCCCACCATGTGAGCAATTATTCCGAATATATTTTATAGTTAATACTAACCACTTCCAAGCGCTGGTATCTATCATACGCCATTTCTCCCTTCGGAGGAGTACTTTTGCTGTGAGTTTCCATGTCCTCATCATCCAAATCTAGTTGACTATAGGAATAAAATTTATAATTATTTGCATTTTATATGGTGTTTATGGTTTTAGAAATATTAAAATATACATTCCAAGCATGTGAGACGTTTTCGAATAGTAAGACGCATAATTAAATATTAAGGAGGGCTACTGGCGGCCTTATCGCTTTCGAGCGATCTCTACCAGGCAACCAGTGTGAGAAAGGAAAAAAAATGTATTAAATTTGATGAGGTAGGCAAGAAGTGCAAAAATACATATTACATATAGTTATTAAGAAAAAAAGGAACTAAACAGGAACAAAAAACAAACTAAACTAATAAAGGATACATGAAAAAGATACATAGTACATTAAAAGTGCACATGAATCATAACAATTTAATTTAAGATCAGTCTCACGTCAGTAAGTAGTTAGTAAGAAAGTTAGGGATACGATGTGGACAGGTAATGTTTGTACAGACGAAATTTAAAGGAAGATAGAGAAGGAGATAAAGTCCTTAAAGGACTCGCCAAGAAAGGAGGAGTAATGAGATGGGATTTAAAGGATATAGTTTTCAGAAGAGCGTAAGCTATAGTTATGTATTATTTAATATATTACAATGGACTTATAATTTTATTCGAAGCATATCAAGAATATACTCATTAATCAATTAATGCGATTAATATAGATAATTTTTCCTTTCTATTATCTCTGTGCGTATTAAAATATACATATAAAGACACCCTTTTAATGTATAAAGGCCATTGTAGACATTCAATAAATGTTATCTTAAAAAAACCGACTTAAGTACATATTATGTACACTACCTTAGACTGTTAATCTAAGTATTATAAATGTCTTAGGGTCGATTCGACCAAACTTCAATTTATACACGAGTAACTATACCAGGAATAATCTATTCCATGAATTTAATCTCGAGTAAATTCATAGTCGTTTCTCCACGTAATCGATAGTATAATTGCGCTAGGAATAACAATACGCGAATAGCAAAGAGAATGGTGAACGAAAATAAAACTCGGCAAATAAATGTTGTTCTACAACGGGACAGTGTAAGAGCATACATCATGTCAACTCTATTTTGCCGTATTATAGTGTGAAAAAGGGCCAGACTATTAATTTAGTGCGTTGCGTTGACTTGAAATTAAAACACAGAATACATATTTGTGAAATGACAGAAATCAGCTGATTGGACTGACTGACGCCATTAAATTATTCTAGGAATAGCTGTTATTAAGTGCGAAACGGCGGTATAGTAGCTATTCCCGAATAAGCCCACTATTCTTAGAATTTGTAGTTGGTAAAACGTAAAATTGATTTACTCTCGATTAACTGACGATTTATTCTAAGATTAAGATTTATTCTGGTTTGGTCGAATCGGCCCTTAATGTATGATTTGTCGTCAGATTTCGATTATCGACATTTATATATTTTTTTGTATTTAAAAATTTTACATAAATAATATTTATATTATGTCAATTTATGTGTTATTATGTTTTTAAACAAGATTATCATAAGTTAAAAAAGGATTTTAATGTCGCATAAGCCAATGACAAAATTGTATTGTAAACGGTCCCAGGTTAATGTCTGATTTATTTGAAAAATATTTTGGAAAAATATGTCAGAAATAATCTCACACTGAAACATTTCTTTTAAACAGTAAGTAGTTTTTGAGTTTATTCTACACAAATATACAAATGTTTCTCATTTAATTAAGTGGTAAATTTCAGTATGTAGGAGATAATAATTATTATGATATTAAGATCAAAATAAACTTACGCCTTCACATCATCTACATGTAACCAGTACTGTATGTCTTCACTTTCCAATGCTTTTATAAAGTTAACTTGGTGTTCTGGTTTCACAAGAACTAGGCCTTCGCGGTCTGTGGAAGCTTGGCTCAGAAAGTCCAGGTCGAGGCTGGGAATCATTGATCCGAGGGATTCCAGCTGGCCCGTGGTTGACGGAGCTACGTAGTAGGACTTCCATCTATAATATCATACATATAACTTAAACAAAAGCTGTAAATTATTTAAAATGTAAATTTGAGAGTGCTCATAATCCACAAAAATACATTGGTTTTGGTGAAGGTTGTAAATTAGGTATTTGAAGCACACAAAGATTTTATAGCAACTTCCTCTGTATTTAAAAAAAAATAACATTATCCTTCTTTTCTGTCCTTTACAAATAATTAGAAAATTGTATTAAAATTCTATGTACTGACCGAATGAAGTAGAACATTTTGGGATTTTATTAGTATTTTAAAAGATTTTATATGTGCGTGGAACATCGTCGGATATAAGCGGAATAATCGAATAAATATTAAATATATTTTTTTTGCACATTTCATTAATTATACAAAACTTAAATTATAGGTTACCAACAAAGCTATTATTAGCTTTTAAAATATCAGATTACAAATTAACGTAGCGTTATTTTACTATATTTTTTCCACAGGCGATAAATTAAATACATACCCTTTATATTCTTCGTGCTTTGCGAAAATACTCGACACTAAACACAAAAGTACTAAAGCCTTCATTGTTCACAATATACAACCGATTTTCATGCGTAAATATGTAATTATATTCAAAACATGATAAGAACTGATCAAAGATTTTTATCTATTAAAAATTTAAATACATTTAAATTAACAATTACTTTTATTTATGATAAACACCTCAATCATTAATATTATCAATTGCGATATTTTGAGATTGTGTTCAACTCTTCGAAATAAATTTTCTGTGTGAAAAAGCACAGTTAAAATTATGGTACATGCCACATAAACTGACTTAGAAAAGCCTAGGTTAAAACAATTGAAGATATCACAAACCACGGAATAGCGAGTTAAATTTTAGTCTCCTATTTTTGTTTCTCAAATAAATGCAGCAAAAATATACTGGACCTATTAAATATTAATATTGTTGCGAAAACGGATAGAATGGAATGTCTTGTTTTCTCTACAACTCAGAGACGCAGCAAGCTAAAATGGCCTTTAGTACCGTTTCATGAGAGGCTCAAACTTCTATGTTCGTATAACACCAGAATATATGAATTTACTTAAATTTACCCATTTTCAGGGCAACCCCGGTGGCAACCCTCAATCTTCTCATCTCAGCGGTATGTATGTATGTGTTCCGTAAGCACATAGCCGCCGTACGCATGAAGGCCTCTTTTGTCCTCTCTACCCGACAATGCATGACCTACGCTAGCGTAGTCTTCTTCTAGGCACTCCATGTCGCGTCTAGGCCACTCTAGTCGCGATGCATGAGAATCACGCCTCTTACGTGAGGAACGTCGATCCACCACGACCTGGTGCTCCCTACCGCAGCGCACATGCACAGCGCAATGGATGAAGTTGGCGTTCTCACACCATTTCGACAAGGCTAAACATCAAGCCATCCCGTTGTTTCGTAAAAGCATCTATTATTACCCCTACCGACAAAAAAGGCCTGACGACACGTCTTAACGGATCGTGATGATCCAATCACAATAGCAAATGGCAAATTAAAGTAAAAAAAAGTACTGTGATAGTGTTTAGATATTAGTAAGGTAATTAGTGACAGTCATTGTGCATGCAATTTATTGTGTTTTTTTTTTAATTATTTTAGAATAAACCCTTGAAGAGATTTATGGTGTTTTCTATTCGTTGGCTCGTAACATTGGTATAAGGTTATCAATTGTCTTTAGGTATAGGTTTAAAGAACCCTACAATTATTATTTTAACATTTATATGTATGATAAACTCAAATATAACTTTATTCATATAGGTAACTAAGTACACTTGTGAACGTCAACAGAAAAGATGTTAAATTTATTCTAAATTTACATTTACTACTAGTTCCCAAGTCGAGGGCGTAGAACATCTTTAATCACAAAGTCTTGATTCTGCATAACTCGAGTAAACAAAAAATTTATTTAAATATCTTTAATTTCATAAAAATAACATACAATTCTCATTATTTACTTCTCACAATTGCTCTTGCTCTCTTCGCGCCTACAGAAATGCCCTCCCAAGTCTCCTCAGCAACTGGCCTGACGTACTTAGGGTCAAGATGGAACCCTTGCACTCCTCTTCTAAGACCGGGTAACTCATAAGTATAAGTCAGAGGAACTCCAACAGAGTGGGCATAGTCTTCAGCAGCTCCAGATGTGCCATAACCAATTACGAGCAACGAATTGCCGACCCTGTATCTTGAAAAGACTGAGAGGGTCTTTGCAAAAATTGCGTCAGCCATTGCAACTCCTACCGTATGTAAACCTAAAGCATTGTGTGAGAGACTTCCATCATGACCCCAAGGGTAAAGAATCATGCTTCCATAACTATGAATCGTGATGTACAAAATCATTCTGCTCAAGTTCTCCTCAAGAACATCGCGTACGAGTCTGGTCTCGATTTCTGAGAAGGGTTTAGATCCTCCGTAGGTATCAGAGCAGGGGTTGTTGCTGGTTCCTACGGTACCCCAGTGGATATCGAAGTTCCGGTTTCCATCGACCCCGGGACACATAACGCTTAGTGGAGATTGATCAGTCGAACGTGTTTTGCGCCAGAATCGTTCCTGAAATTGTTAATTTCATTATTCGTCCATAACCAATGTGTAATGAACACATTTTCACCTCGATATCAACGTAGTACTAAATTGTACTATTGGCTCCAATCACTCTGATTTATGGATTTTTGCGCCCGATTCTTTTTATTTAGATTTCGTAATTTCCGAATACAGTAGGCCAAAGTCTCGACGCTATATAAATCATTAGGGTGCGTTTATACATACATTTGAATATTCGCATATGTAGGGAAAGATAGGAAAACCAGAGTTTATAGATAGCGGTGATTTTGGTGAAATTATTAGTATTAACTACAAAAATGTGAAACATTACTTTAACACATTTGTAATCATTAATTAATTTCAATCAATATGTACCACACGTATTAATCCGATAAGAATCATTTAATCTATCATCAATCAATTTTTAAATAATCATAGTCAATTACATTTATTTTATCAATATTTTAACATTGCTATCGTTTGATTTATTAAATGTTGGATTAATTGATACTACTATTCAAAATACACAGTTGATGATAGTGACTGTACCCTTGATATTTTTTTTAGAACAGGTAGCGAACTGGTAGGAGGCTCGCCTGATGCTAAGCGATACCGCCGCCCATGGACACTCTTAATGCCAGGGTTCGCAAGTGCTTTGTCGGCCTTTTAAGCATCGGTTAGCTCTTCTTTTGAAGGACCCTAAGTTGAATTGGTTCGGAAATACTTAAGTGGGCAACCCTCAGTTGTGGAACGAAGAGATAATCACACTTTCTGTACCTAAATTTAAAAAAAAACCATTGGCGCAATTTTAGGTTTATCTGACTTACTGAACTTATAACTTACATTTGTATGAGAAAATTCGTATCCATCTGGGTTAGCCACAGGCATGATGATCCAGTCAAAGTTGTTCAAAAGTTCTGGATCAGTTCTGTTTTCAACCAGCTTGTGGATTGCATAAGCAGCAGCTGGTGGGGTGATCCATTCCCTGGCGTGCAAAGTCGCATCGACAAATATGACCGATTTTGACCTATCTTCGAAGTTGGTGGAAGAAATTTTCAAGTACTTGATAGGACGGCCCTCGAAGGATCTTCCGGCTGTTACTTGCTTGACAATATTGGGGTAGTTTGCGGCTACCTCGTCCATGTAATTGTAGATCTGTAAAGGAATCAGGATTGCAGCCCTTGCTCGTACCAATGTGATTTTTAAACTAAGTGTACCACTATTGCTAACTAGCAACTGCTAATTATTGTCAGTATCAGACAGACTGACTCTATAAAATATGTAGTAGTTAATCCCTCTCCTATTTAAACATCTATTAAAGATACCGAGGTTAAATTATAACTTACCGCGTCTAATCGAAGATAATTGTCGTAAGGTTTTTCCGGTGTGCTTCTAGCGCGGAACTCTGCATGCCTTGCTTCAATAATCTCATCTTCAATATCGAGCTGGCTGTTTACAAAAAAAACATAAATTGTAATAAAAAAAAAATTTTTTTTTCTGTGGGCTTCCTGATAGCTTAAAACATCAGGATTGGTTTTCCTCGTCATATGGCGTAATTAATTGGTATCGGCACTTTTAATGTCTGTATTATTAGACAATTATTGGAAATCGGAAATGATTATAGAAATTAACCCCGATTAAAATATATAACTTCAATAACTTATATAAAAGTACTATATATATCTAATTAATGAGATAATCTATATTTATATGTGTATATATATGGTTTCATATGTTAAGCTTGATGTATATGAAACCATATATATGCACATAACGCATTTGTATGGCGATTCTTTAAATTAAAGTAAATAATTAAACTTACGAGTAAATATCATAAAAATCGCTTTAAAAAAAAATATAAACTAATATAAAAATCTTACTATTTGATATCTTCACTGTGAAGTCTATGATATATTTCTTCATTCGCCAGAACATTAAGGAATTCTTCTTGGTATTGAGGTTTCACCAACGCCACACCTTCACGGTCTACTCTTGGTCTGACGAAATAATCTACGCCTAATTTGCTCTCCAGAGATCCCAAGATCGACAGCTGGTCTTGAGAAGCTGGAGCCACGTAGTATGACTTCCATCTATAAGGTGATAAATAAAAATTTATATGATTGCAATTGTATATTGATCAGATTTAGATGGCGACCACCCTGTGGGGTCTGGGGTGATTACCGGCAAAACGATAATATTTCTTAAGATATTATCGACGATAAAGACGCGGACGGGAATTAAAATGAAGCGGTGTAAATACAATTATTAAACATCAAGCAGTCCTGTCTTAGTAAGGCATGGGGCAGAACTATTTGTGTAAAATTAAACTATTGCTTGACAAATGAGTAGTTCAAACTCATCCATTGCAAAAATCATCTCTTAACCAACACCAAAAACACAAAAGTCGAACTGTTTCTTCTAATAGTTACGTACCCAGAGTATAATTCATGTTTGGCAAATGCCACTGCGCACAAAGACACTAGTATCCATTCCCTCATTTTGGAAAGAACTGCGAAATCGATTAATAAGTATTAATTACGAAGGATTAGCTTAATCGATAATTACGAAATAATCTTTTTATTAATTTAATCTTCTGTCTTATGCTTGAATTATTAGGAAAGACGAGGGTAGAATATAGCCAGGCGTGGGCAATTTCTTCAACTGTTACATTGCATTAATTCGTTACACAGCAATTAACCGTTCAGTATTTCGATTAACCAGGAACCGAACACCTAGATTAAAACTTTGAAGAATTTCATGTTTTTATCTATATTTCCAATGATATTAAAGATTTTTATTGCACTTTACTATACTCGTATGTATACGTATATTAGAAACGATTGATTCGATTTTGTTTGCGTAATTTTAAAATGTAGTGAAATGTTACAAACAATATATAAAAGACTAAAATGGCTATACGCAGGACACATTGTAAGAGAAGAAAGGATAATACGTACGGGCACTAGAACAGAGTAGTTCCAGAGATGAAATAAGAAACAAGGGAAGGCAGGTGAAGCTGGGAAGACGACATAAGAAGGGTTGGAATGGTACAGAATAGCGAAGGACAGATGAATTTAGAGGAGGCCTTTGTCTAAAGACAAGATCGACAGCAATAAAAATAAATAATGTATTAAAAATACCCTAGACTAAGTACAGTAATAAAGGCTTATTTTATTTTATAACCCTCACGAATAAGTCAATGTTTTTGTTGTTTTTATTACATACGATTGTGACAGTGAGTTGTTTTAGTATTTCTCGTCGTAATTTGTGTATTTTTATTGCAATTAAATTTTTAGTTTATAACCCTTGAAGAGATTTACCGCGTTTTCTATTCGTTCCCCTAGCTTGTAACATTTGAATTGTTATATTATGGTTATCAATAGTATTTTGATATAGAATTGAAGAACCGTATTTGTAATTAAGAATACAATTTCTCTATATATACTATTTTGATTTAATTGTTATTTTGTTTTGCTAATATATAGCGTGTTGCAACTGTGGGGGGCGGGGGCCGGGCGGGTGTGTGATCAGTGATGTGCTAACGTCTCGTTCATTCATCTGAGGTCACTGACCACACCACACGCCGCACGTTACTGCTTCCATAGTTGCATACTTTTACGAACATATTCCTTTATTTCTTCGCTTCGTCATCAACAATGTTAGATAAAATTAAACTTTGCTTTATTACTGGTGTAAATAAAAAAAACTGTTTAAGTATCATTTATTTGATAAAAATTTCACAATTTTCATTATTTTCTACTTACAATTGCTCTTGCTCTCTTCGCGCCTACAGAAATTCCCTCCCAAACCTCCTCAGCAACAGGCCTGATGTATTGAGGGTCAAGATGGAACCCCTTCAGATGATCATCATTAGCAAAATCATCATCATCTTCATCATCATCATCTTCATCATAATCATGTTCAATACCGGGTAACTCATAAGTATAAGTCAGAGGAACTCCGATGGAATGGGCATAGTCTTCAGCAGCTCCAGATGAGGGATAACCAATTACGAGCATGGAATTACCGACTGTGTATCTTGGAAAGATTGGGAGGGTCTTTGCGAAAATTGCGTCAGCCATTGCAATTCCTACCGTATGTAAACCTAAAGCATTGTTTGAGAGACTTCCATCATGACTCCAAGGGTACAGAATCATGCTTCCGTAACTATGAAGTGTGATATACAAAATCATTCTGCTCAAGTTCTCCTTAAGAACGTCCCGAACGAGTCTGGTCTCGATTTCTGAGAAGGGTGCAGATCCTGCGTAGTTATCTGCGCAGATGTCGTCGCTGGATCCTACGGTACCCCAGTGGATATCGAAGTTCCGGTTTCCATCGACTCCGCGACATATAAAGCTTATTAGATTTTCAATATTAAACGAACGTGTTTTGCGCCAGAATCGTTCCTGAAATTTAAAATTTCATTATTCGTCCATAGCCAATGTGCAATGAACACATTTTCACCCCGTTATCGACATACTCGTAGCACTGAAATGTTTGCTGACTGCAATCATTATGTTTTAAGGATTTTTGACAAGAAATATGTTTTTTATTTTATAGAACATGTAGTATACGGGCTCATCTGATTTTAAGCGATACCGCCGACCATGGACACGTTTAATGACAGGGCTTGTAGGAGTGCGTAAAAAATGCTCATGATTTTTAAGAATTGGTACGCACTTTTCTTGAAGGACCCTAAGACGAATTGGTTCGAAAATACTTCAGTTCCAAATAGTGGTATTATTATTGAGAAGGTAATTCACCTCAATAATAATACCACTATTTGGATAGATGGTACCTTCTGTACCTAGATTTAAAAAATAATTGGCGTACCATTAGGTTATTTTAGTCTGTCTGTCACCTGTCTTACTAAAGTTATAACTTACATTTGTATGAGAAAATTCATATCCATCTGGGTTAGACACAGGCATGATGATCCAGTCAAAGTTGTCCAAAAGTTCTGGATCAGTTCTGTTTTCAACCAGCTTGTGGATTGCATAAGCAGCAGCTGGTGGGGTGATCCATTCCCTGGCGTGCAAAGTCGCATCGACAAATATGATGGATTTTGACCTATCTTCGAAGTTGGTGGAAGAAATTTTCAAGTACTTGATAGGACGGCCCTGGAAGGATCTTCCAGCTGTTACTTGCTTGACAATATTGGGGTAGTTTGCGGCTACCTCGTCCATGTAATTGTAGATCTGTAAAGGAATTATCAGGACTGCAGCCCGTACCTATGTGATATTTGCAATAAGTGTACCACTATCGCTGGCTTTTATTAGCCTTCGGCTACCCTATAGATGCGACCGTTATGTTTGCGTGATATTTGGTTTTAAAACGTTTCTATTTTTATTAGTCTAGCCTTTGCTTTACTATAATTTTTGGTAATAACTATCACACGCACAAACGCTTGGGTATGATTGCATTTTAATAGGTATCTATAGATAGGCAACTCCGTTTCAAGTAATTGCTATAGAAATATGAAATACTTACGGCCAGACACCATTATTTCATAACATTACCTCTAACGTTAATACTGTGCTAATTCAATACAATTAAAAAAGTTTAGAATCAAATTCTTACCTGAATGGATCGGAAGTCAAAGTCTAAATCATATTTTATTCATAAAGGTAACACAATGTACACTTATGAACGTCAAAAAAGAAATAAAAATTAAATGCTTCTAATTTTACATTTACTGCAAGTTCTCAAATCAAGGGCGTAGAACGGAAGAGAAGAACTGGCACTTAACTCTCCGCCTCTTTTTTAAATCGCCAAGATTTTTGTTTTACACAACGTTGGTAAGGAGCTGCAACCATTACACCATGTTCCACATGACATCTTAGGTAATTAATAGTTAATTAATAATTCTTAAATAAATTAAAAACAAAGATTTGTCCTCTATGAGCAGGAGGCATGGTGAAATAGGAGCACAAACTTACATTCTCGTCGGAAGAAGAGATTAGAATCTTTAACCGTTAAAATTTTGCTCGATTTTGAGCTCGTTGTTGATTAAAGTTATGAAAATGTTGATAAGTGGTAACAATTAATTGCGATAGACTGACTGACTGTATAAAATATTCCATTACATATTTTATATTATCTATTGATAATCCCTGCCTAAGTTAAATTATAACTTACCGCGTCTAATCGAAGATAATTGTCGTAAGGTTTTTCCGGTGTGCTTCTAGCGCGGAACTCTGCATGCCTTGCTTCAATAAGCTCATCCTCAATATCGAGCTGTCTGTTTACAAAAAGCAATAACTTCTAATAATACGAAATTATTGGAATCGACACTTACATCGTAAAAATCACTTTGAAAAAAAATCATAAAAATACAATCTAATATAAAAATCTTACGATTTGATATCTTCACTGTGAACCCTGTGAGAGATTTCTTCATTCGCCAGAACATTAAGGAATTCTTCTTGGTATTGAGGTTTCACCAACGCTACACCTTCACGGTCTACTCTTGGTCTGACGAAGTAATCTACGTCTAATTTGCTCTCCAGAGAACCCAAGATCGACAGCTGTTCTTGAGAAGCTGGAGCCACATAATATGACTTCCATCTATAAGTTGAAAAATAAAAAACTAAAATTTATATGATTGCAATTGTATATTGATCAGATTTCTCGCTGATCGGATCATCAAGGTCATCATCGACGAAGCATGCTCTGATCTTAAACTCGTCAATGCTGGTGTCCCACAAGGCTGTGTCCTATCCCCGACCCTGTTTATCTGCATATCAATGATACGTTGCAACTTAGCAACATGCATTGCTATGTGGACGACAGCACTGGGGATACTTTTAACACTGGCTGGGCAGGTATTTCTCGGGCTGTTGTCGATGAGTACCGGAACAAACTAGTGTCTGAAGTCGAAACTCTTCTACGTGGAGTCTCGGACTGTGGTAGACTAAATCTAGTCCAATTTAACCCTAAGAAGACACAAGTCTGCGCGTTTTCCGTTGAAAAAATTCGTTTTGTCGCTAAGGCTAAAAAGGAAGGCTAAAGCTTGGTGTGCTCAGAAAGGCGAGACGGTACTCCTCTCCGGGCCACCGCTTCCTACTGTATAAAGCGCAAATTCGGCCCCACATGGAATACTGTTCCCACCTCTGGGCAGGAGATCCCCAGTACCAGCTTCTTCCACTTGACCGTATTAAACGAAGAGCGGTTCGAATCGTTGACGACTAATCACTTTCCGTGCGGCTTGATCCTTTGGCGTTGTTTGGTCTAATACCTGCAGCTGAGTTTCACTGTCGGACGTCAAGGCAAAATACAAAATACCATCACCTCGACGTCCGTAGTTCCACAACTAAGCGTTTTCTATGGCAGTTTTTTGCCGCGCACCGCCACTATATGGAACCAGCTGCGTACTGAAGTATTTCCGAACCAATTCGACTTAGGGTCCTTCAAGAAAAGAGCGTATCAATTCTTGAAAGGCTAGCAACGCACTTGCGAGTCTTCTGGCAAGTGTATTATCATTTAACATCTGGTGAGCCGCCTGCCCGTTTGCATTACATTAAAAAAAATTGTAGAATATACGGCGTACACCCTGTGGTATCTCGGATGATTCCTGGCAAAACAATATTTCTTAAGATATTATCAACGACATAGACGCGGACGGGAATGCCCCATAATTAAAATGTAGGGGTTACAAAACACAAAAGTCGAACTATTTCTTTTAATAGTTACGTACCCAGAGTATGTTTCATGTTTCGCAAATGCCACTGCGCACAAAGACACTAGTATCCATTCCCTCATTTTGGAAAGAACTGCTAAATCGATTAAAAAGTATTACTTAAGAAGGACTTAATCGATAAAAATAATCTTCTTATCTAAATTAAACAGAACTGCTTCAAATTTTATATCTACTGTATACCTAGAATAACACTTCGAAGAATTTTATGATTTTATCTGTATTTCCAAGGATATCAGAGATTTAATTATTTTACTTTACTATACAGGGTGGTCAAAAAGTGTGGCTAGGTATATTGAAGAGGTCCTACGTTCGTCTCGTTCTGGCTACACTTGGTACTTACCACATTTTGCTATGATTAATCCATCAAAACCGAAACCGAGAAACGTTTTAGACGCTCCTGCTAAAACGAATTGGATTTTGAATGACATGTTACTTACCGGACCAGATCTGTTGAACCCACTGCCTGGAGTTTTGTTGCCCTTTCGACAGAGACCAATTGCTGTGTCCAAACCAAACAAATTACGGCGGAATGATTTCATGAAGTATTGTGAAGAGATGTGTCCAGTGCAGAATACTGCCAGAAAAACCGGTGCTAACACTGGTGATCACCCCGGCACGAGGTTGGCCCATCATCAACACCCATTTACTTTTGTGGGGTTAGACTATTTTGGCCCTTATAGCGTCACAGTAGGCCGCCATCATGGGAAGAGGTTGTTACCCTTTTCACTTGCCTTATTACTCGAGCTATCCATTTGGAGGTGCTGTTCGTTAAGCACGGATAGTGCAATAATGGCCCTGCAACGAATGATAGCAAGACAGGGATGCCCTACAGAAATACACAGCGATAATGGGACAAATCTCCGCGGGGCTGTTGCAGAGCTAAGGAGGGCAGCGCACTGGGGGGGGGGAGAATATGTACACTCAAATTGTTGTTTTGTTTTGATTATTATAGATAGTGTGATGAAACTACAGGAGGTGAGGGCCGGGCGAGCGTGTGATGTGCTAATGTCTCGTTTATTCACCTGAACATACCACACGCCGCACGTCACTGCTTCCATAGCTACACACGAAAATATTCCTTTATTTATTCGTTTCGTCATCAACAATGTAAGAGTCTGGCTAACGAAAGTAGATACTGGATTTTTTTGCAAACTTTTTATATGACAACACTAAAGTTAGTACGGTCAAAATGACTTGATATTTTTTTTATTTTAAATAAGAACATATTAGTTTTACTTACTTTAGATAATGTTATTGTTCTTTTACATATAGTCTTGAGATTATTAGCCAACGGTTAAAATAAAAAAAAAAATAAAAAAATATGTTTATTATGGAATATAAGATACATGTATCACTTATTCCACGTCATTAAATTTGAATTTGTAGGCATCCCTACTCATCGGCAAAGAAGACAGAGGGTGTAGGCCGAGAGAAAAAGCCGGCGTAAAAAACTCTCGGCACTCTTTTAAAATAGCAAATCATCAAACAACACTTATTTTAAAACAAATATCGCAAATTAATTAGAGGTAGCCTGTCTAGCACTAGTCCCAGGCCCTTTTATCAACTAGATAATCGTTGACTTTATAGTAAGCCTTTTTACACAGCTTTTCTTTAATACATTTCTTAAATTTATTGAAAGGCAGAGATAAAAGAGCCTCTGGGATTTTATTAAAGAAGAGTATCCCTTTCCCCAAAAAAGAATTACTAACTTTAGATAGTCTAGTACGGGGAAATTGCAGCCTGCGTTTTTTCCGTGTATTAACATTGTGCGTATGTTCTATTCTAGTAAAATTATCACTATTTTTGTATACATACATAATATTTTCATAAATATATTGCAAGGAAAGGTAAGTATATTAATTTCCTTGAATTTATCTCTAAGAGATTCCCTACATTTTAAATTATAGATTGCACGAATAGCCCTCTTCTGCAGGATGAAAATAGTTTCGACATCAGCAGCATGACCCAATAATAATAAGCCATAAATCATTAAGCTATGAAAGTAACTAAAATAAACAAGTCTAGCTGTATCGACATCAGTTAGTGAGCGAATTTTTTTAATCGCGTAGGCTGCAGAACTAAGTCTCTTCGCCAATCCGTTAATATGGGGTTATGAATTTAAGAAAAACAAAAATGAACGTTCATTATTAATTGAACGATATGATATTGTTACGAAGACGGGTCGACTGCAATGTTTCTTGATTTTTCCACTACTTAGAGAACTTTTCAGCAGCCTGAAATGTGATTTCTGACCGCTTTTTTCGTACCATTGCATCGAAACGTGCAGAAGGCAAGCCAATAATCTACTTAGATGAAACTTATGTCCACAAAACCTACAAGCCTAAAAACTGCAAGCATCCACTAGTAAAATAAAAATGAATGTCAAAGTATCAAAGTGAGTTGTTCCAGCTTTCCTTTTTACTTTAGGGCTGCCATGCTGATATTTTTTAAATTTGCCGCGCTTTTTCAGTATCAACTTTCATTAGCCAGACTCTAGATAAAACTATACTTTGCTTTATTACTCGCGTAAATAGAAAAACTGTTTAAGTATCATTTATTTGATAAAGATTACACAATTTTCATTATTTACTTCTCACAATTGCTCTTGCTCTCTTCGCACATACAGATATTCCCTCCCAAGTTTCCTCAGCAACTGGCCTGATGTATTGAGGGTCAAGATGGAACCCCTTCAGGTGATCATCATTAGCAAAATCATCATCTTCTTCTTCTTCTTCATCATCATCATAATCATGTTCAATACCGGGTAACTCATAAGTGAAAGTCAGAGGAACTCCGATAGAATGGGCATAGTCTGCAGCAGCGCCAGATGCGCCATAACCAACTACGTGCAGGGAATTGCCGACTGTGTATCTTGGAAAGACTGGGAGGGTCTTTGCGTAAATTGCATCAGCCATTGCGATTCCTACCGTATGTAAACCTAAAGCATTGTTTGAAAGACTTCCATCATGACCCCAAGGGTACATAATCATGCTTCCGTAACTATGAAGTGTCATATACAAAATCATTCTGCTTAAGTTCTCATTAAGAACGTCCCGAACGACTCTTGTCTCGATTTCTGAGAAGGGCTTAGATCCTGGGTAAATGTCTGCGCAGTTGTGGTCGCTAGTTCCTACGGTACCCCAGTGGATATCGTAGTTCCGGTTTCCATCGACTCCGCGACATAGGAAGCTTATTAGGTTTTGATCAATCGAACTTGTTTTGCGCCAGAATCGTTCCTAAAAATTTTAATTTCATTATTAAAGTGAAAATGTGTTCACCCCGTTATCTACATAGTACTGAAATGTATTGCTGACTGCAATCAATCTGATTTAAGGATTTTTTTGTCAAGAATATGTTTTTGCTTTTAATTGAACAGGTAGTAAACGGACAGGAGGCTCATCTGAGGTTAAGCGATACCGCCGACCATGGACACTCTTAATGCGAGGGCTCGCGCCATGTGATTTTTTAATAATTGGTACTTTTATAGAAGGACCCTAAGCCAAATTGGTTCGGAAATACTATAGTGGGCAGCTGCCCTGCGATTCTGTAACTCACTTTTCGAACTCACACAGCGGTTTTCGCATCGGCGGTCGCTCTCAAATCAGTCGTGAAGCAGTAATTTTATGATTTGGCATTTTGAAAAGGTGGGAGCTTGTAGTTTATTGTTTATCAGAATGTCAAATCATAAAATTACTGCTTCACCACTGATTTGAGAGCGACCGCCGATGCGAAAACCGCTGTGTGAGTTCGAAAAGTGAGTTACAGAATCGCAGGGCAGGTTCCACATTGTGCTGGTGCGTGTGGTGTTGTGTAATTAATGTTTCATAATATTTATTATTATAGAGTCATTCACCTTCTGTACCTTACATGTATTTAGAACGGAAGTTACCTAGATTTAAAAAAATCATAAGCGCATAAATAATAATCATATTAATTTTATAAGTTACATTTGTATGAGTATATTCGTATCCATCTGGGTTAGACACAGGCATGATGATCCAGTCAAAGTTGTCCAAAAGTTCTGGATCAGTTCTGTTTTCAACCAGCTTGTGGATTGCATAAACAGCAGCTGGTGTGGTGATCCATTCCCTGGCATGCATAGTCGCATCGACAAATATTATGGATTTTGACCTATCTTCGAAGTTGGTGGAAGAAATTTTCAAGTACTTAATAGGACGGCCCTCGAAGGATCTTCCGGCTGTTACTTGCTGGACAATATTGGGGTAGTGTGCGGCTACCTCATCCATATATGTAATTATAGATCTGTAAAGGAATTATCAGAACTGCAGCCCTTACTCGTACCTAAGTGATATTTGAAATAAGTGTACCACTATCGCTACTTCCATTAGCCTTCGGCTACCCTTTAGATGCGAGCTTTATGTTTGCGTGATATTTGGTTTTAAAACGCTTCCTTTTTTATTAATTCAGCTAAGCCTTTGCTTTTTTATCGCCTACAATTGAATGGATTGATATTTATTTTGAGCTCGTTGTTGATAAATGTTATCATATAGTGGTAACAACTAACTACAACAGACTAACTGACTGTATAAAATATGTAATGTAATAGATAATCTCTGTCCTATTTAAATTTATATTCGAAATACCGAGGTTAAATTATATCTTACGGCACCCAATCGAAGATAATTGTCGTAAGGTTTTTCCGGTGTGCTTCTAGCGCGAAACTCTGCATGCCTTGCTTCAATAATCTCATCTTCAATATCGAGCTGGCTGTTTACAAAAAACAATAAAGTCTAATAATGTATAACTTAAATACTCCCGTGGGCTTACCCCTTCATTTCAAATTTGATTAGTTTTCCTCGTCATATGGCGTAATTATTGGAATTGCCACTTTTTACATCGTAAAAATCGCTTTGAAAAAAAAATTTAAAAATATAACCTAATTTAAAAATCTTACGATTTGATATCTTCGTTGTGAACTCTATGAGATATTTCGTCATTCGCTGGAACATTAAGGAATTCTTCTTGGTATTGAGGTTTCACCAACGCCACACCTTCGCGGTCTAGTCTTGGTCTGACGAAGTAATCTACGTCTAATTTGCTCTCTAGAGATCCCAAGATCGACAGCTGTTCTTGAGAAGCTGGAGCCACATAGTATGACTTTCATCTATAAGGTGATAAATAAAAAACTAAAAATTTATATGATTGCAATTGTATATTGATCCGATTTAGTAGTATACATGGCGACCACCTTGTTGGGGTCTCGGGTGATTCCCGGCAAAACGATATTTCTTAAGATATTATCAATGACATAGACGCGGACGGCAATGCCCCCCTAATTAAAATGTAGGGGTCACAAAACACAAAACTCGAACTGCATCTTTTTTATAGTTACGTACCCAGAGATTTGCATGTTTGGCAAATGCCACTGCGCACAAAGACACTAGTATCCATTCCCTCATTTTGGAAATAACTGCTAAATCGATTAATAAGTATTACTTAAGAAGGATAGGACTTAATCGATAATTACAATATTTCAATTAATCTTCTTATCTAAATTAAACAGAACTCCTTCGAATTTTATATCTACTGTATACCTAGAATAACACATCGAAGAATTAGATGTTTTTATCTGTATTTTCAAGGATATCAGAGATTTTTATTTTATATATATATATATATGGATATATAGATAAAAAATGGAAATGGCAATAGGCAGAACATGGCGACATCTAGAGGAGGCCTTTGTAAGAGAGACAAGCTCGACGGTAATAATAGTAACATATAAAACAGTAAAATCAATGTAGACTCAGTCAGCAATAAAGGCTTATTTTTTTTATAATCCTCACGAATAAGTCTGTCTATAAATGAAAAACGCATTAAAAGTCTAAAACATATTAGGGTACGATTCAAAGTCGACACTCAGTTGTAGATTGTCTCACGTTTTTGTCTTGCGCTAATAAGTCTTGATTCTGAATTCTGACCTAAGGAGGCAGAAGACGCACGACTTTTTAATATCATCTAGATTCTAGAACATCGTTTCTCAACGATTTTTATGTCGAGACCCACGAAAAAGCCAATAAGGTAAGTAAAACAGTGTTGCGACCCGTCACTATAAAATTATAATTTAGTTTTATTACACTACACTATAATTATTTATTACTTTAACTAACGAACCTTTTGTACCTGTATGCCAATGGTTATACAGCCCCTTGTGAGGCTTAGCCTCCTCAAGTACCTAAACTTCGCCATCGCAATATATCCAGTGAGACATATATTATCTACTATTTTGTGTAAGCACTTGATTATTTATAGATTTAAATCCTCCTTTTGGTCTTTTTACTATTAAGTGATTATTAGTGATCATTCCGATCTGTGTTTAGTTTCTTCCTTACCGCGAAAGATACTTTATTCCATGGGATGCCGAAAAAATTATGTACCACAAAGAACGGTTCGGTGGCCGTTGATACACAATCTTCTACTAGGATAATACGTAGAAATCCTAAGTACATACCTCGTTACAATGTCTCCTTACCAAGAAGGAAGGCACACAATATTGTCAGTCGTAAGGATTTGGAGAAATGGTATTAGTTTGGGAACAAAGAGAGATTTGACTGATACTGATACCTTGCCCCACAATAGTTCACAAAAACGCTCAAAACACTCACTATAAAATTATAAATTGAGGACGTAACTATTAACAAATATTATTAAAAAAAGGTATAAATCAAAATAAAAATGCATCCTGAAACCCGAGAAAATCTCAACAGTGACTAACCCAAAAGTGTCATCATCAAATTTTATTAAACTAAACTTATGTATTTCGAACAACGCGAATTATTTTTTTTTATTATTTGAAGTTGCTGAACTATCCCAAGTATGCACTTGGAGGATCTATGTTAAGGGATAGTGGAGTAAGTGTTAAGGGTGTGGCATTTAGAGACCTCCCACACTAGCATCTTCCGAGCGTCGTCATCGCGACGTCACGCCGCGGCGACGTGACGCCAGCGCTGCGCTTAACTTTTTGTATAGGACAAACTAGCCTAAGGGACGCCCAAAAAGCGGAGTCACCGAAGCCCATGGACAAATTTAAGTTGCGTTGCCGGCTAATATAATTGATGTGTATGTGTGCTTTTTTAGACATACACATTGTTTTAGAACCTATAAATAAATTGGAGGTCGTATCTCCAAAGACTTCCAGCCATCTAGGTGATGCTGATAATTTTTTTAATGAATACCATAAGATAATTTTATTAATCGAACAGGTAAATCCTTGAGACCAGGTATGGTATGAAGATTATTGTTATTTAAAATTTAAAACAAAAAGAAATTAATCTCTACGTTACAAAACAGGTTTAAGTTAGCCAACCCACTTTTATTTTGAAAGAGAATTTAGTGGGGTTGTGATGTATGTGAACAGTCATATAGCGTAAACACTACTAATTTAATATTGTATATTTGGAAGTGTATTTGTAGTTTTTTCTATCTTAATTTTTTTTAACATCATCTACTACTACTAGCAAGAGATTCCTATCCTCGAGGATCGTTGATCGGTTACCACAGCCTCTCAAAGGTACACAGCAGCTTTTTATAGAACAGACGTCAGGAAGCTCCTCTGATGTTGAGTGATACCGCCGCTCGTGTCTATAGGCATGTCTGTATCTACTTACACTTCTGACAGTGTAAGTGTTTAGTTACGCTGTCAGAAGGCTCACAAACGCGTTGTGCTTGGACTGTTGGACATAAACGCCCAGAGTTCTTTAAGAATTCTGGGCATTTAAGTCCAACAGTCCAAGAGCAAAAAGGTTAATTTTTCTTCATGCCCATTTTCATCAAACAAGTAAGCTCCGCTGAAAAAAACAGAAGAGTTCTGCCTTGAGATTCTGTAACTCACTTTTCGAACTCACACAGCGGTTTTTGCATCGACGGTCGCTCTCAAATCAGTCGTGAAGCAGTCATTTTATGATTTGGCATTCTAATAAGGTGGGAGCTTGTAGTTTATTGTTTATCAGAAGGCCAAATCATAAAATGACTGATCTGGGTTTAAAATATAGATTACAGAAACCGCGGAGTTCCTATGTCTGTGCAACATAGTTTCTTTAATTTAGTAAATAGTGAGATACTCATTATTTTGATGTTTCTCTCTCTATAATATATTAATTTGTATATGTTGTTTTACTATGAAATTATTATTTGAAATCCATAAGAAATGATCTGCTGTAATCAGGAGGCTGGCAGAACGCTTTTAAAAAACATAATTTTCTGGGTTTGAATGTCTTCTCTTCTCTTTCTCCATTAAAACTACGAGAACTGCAATTTTGTTTGCGCTCAGCCGGTAAGTTCTTTGCTTTTAGTCAAGCTAGTTTCTTTCAATAACTGGTGCCACATAGGGGTGAAGCGCGGCAAAAACTGCCTTTAAAAACGCTCGACTGTGGTGTCGGCGGTGGTTGTTTTTTTTTATCGTTACGTTAGTTTGATACCCGCTAAACTGAGAAAAAATTGTCGTCTAATATGTAATGTATATTTATACATAGTATTATGTTTCCGTTTAAGCAATCAATCGTCCACTTATGAATTTTGTGAAAAATCTGGTTAAACTACCATACACTGGAAAATTATTAATTTTTATTTTTTCTTGTTTTACAATCTATCGTTATGTCTAACACAAGTTGTAAAGCGACAAACAAATAAACAGAAAAAAATTATCGAGCCATAGCTGCGTGACGCCTTTCGATCAGATAACGAGCTCCAGCTTTAATACCTTCCCAAGTCTCCATACCAGCTTGGTAGATGAATGCCGGGTCTACCAGGAAACCGTTCAACGTATTTTGGTTTCTATAAGCAGGCATTTCGTAGGTGTAAGATAAGAGATTTCCTAGAGACTGAACGTAGTCGCTGGAACCACCTGACGCACCATAGTTGAGAAGGTCAACTATATTTCCTACTCTGTAGTTTCTATTTTCTCTCCATTTAACAGCATCAATTCGCTGAGCCATTCTGACTCCAACCATGTTAAGGGTGAGAGCGTTAGGAGGGAGCTGTCTGTTTCCAAATCCATAGAGGACCATGCTGCCGAAGCTGTGTAGGTCAATAAAAAGCTCTAAGCGGTTTCTGACTCCGTTTAGGACGTCTCTAACAGCCGCTGTTTCTGGTTCGGAGAAGGGTCCAGTACCGTGGAATGTTTCGGTGCAGGGAGATGAACTGGAAGCTGTTCCCCACTCGTGGTCGAAGTTCCTGTTCAAGTCGACACCAGGACAGAAGGACCATCCGGAATTCTGGCGACGGTTCTTACGCCACATGCGGGTCTGAAAGAACACAAAATTAATATACAAAAATCAATGTAGTGTTCGATAGAATACCTACACAAATCACGTTTCTAAAGCTTTCCTTCCTTTTTTCTCTTTATTTTAATAGCTACATTACATTTTGTAAATAAAAAGAAACCATAATAACTGGAGATCTTCATACCTTTTGTCGTCTAAAGGTTCGATTTCAAAAGAATTAAAAGTGGCTATCAATTAACTACACACAACAAACACAGACAAAAGTCGTTTTTTGTTGTTAAGTTTTTCTTCTATTGTTAAATACGACTGCTTGTGTTACTTTAATAAAAAAATATTATTTAATTAATAAAGTGATGATTAAAACAAATTTAAAAAGTTTGGTCTCTGTGGCCATGTACCTTTAACGCTGGCAGCGTTTCCTCGCTGCATTGCCATACTTATTCTTTGAGCCAGAAAAGTGCCAGCTCTGGGGTCACCGGTACGATCTACCAGGCGCCAACTTAAATCTTTAATTAGCACCTGTGCACTTGAACCCCACGGCCCAAGAGTCTCTACTCCAAAGGGAACAAAATCAAAGTTGGGGGTAGGACTCTTATATTTGGGCCGATTATTATTTTCCGCTTGCTCTGCCCATCTTTTTTGCTTGTCCGAGGGAGGTGAGACGGGGTAAACGTGTCCACACAAATAACATACATAGTGTTACTTACATTTGTGTGCGTGAATTCATAACCATCAGGATTGGCAATAGGCATGATAATCCAGTCAATGTTGTCCACCAGGCTTCGGTCTTGCACGTCTATGACTAACTTCTCAATGGCGTACAGAGTACCAGGAAGGGTGACCCACTCACGAGCATGCAGCAAAGACATCAAGAACACAACGGGCTTGTTTCTAGACTAAGTTTAAAAAAAAAAAAGGTTTTATTTTTGTTTACAGTTATCTATTCATTGGATAAATGTTATTAATATAATATTCAACGTGGTATTAAAATATAGTTTGTATTGTCAAGTTTTAAAGTCTTAATTAAATAATTAATTTGACATTTTGTCTATACTAATATTATAAAGAGGAAAGGTTTGATTTTTTGTTTGTTTGAAATGAATAAGCTCCGAAACTACTGGACCGATTTCAAAAATTCTTTCACCGTTGGCAAGCTACACTATTCCCGAGTGACATAGGCTGTTTCATTTTCAAAAAAAATAGGGATGCTTACTAAAACTTGAATAATCTAACCCAAGGTGTGACAAAATAAACAAAAAACTTCCTTCAATCGTGTGCGCTGCAAAAACTATTAATGAAAGAACAAAATGATATATTACAATTTTTCAGGACACATCACTACCTATAAAAAATGTCGCGACAGCATGTCTCTATCTTTTATAGTTACGTCACAATAAGCGTCCTTTTATTTTTATTTTTTTATAAAAATACCACCGCTAGAAAAGGCTCTTTATTCGTACCTAGGTATTGATCCTTATCAAAATAATTACCAACGTTGTACATAAGCTACAATTTAATGGCATAACCACCAAAAAAGCATGGTGGATTGGTGTTCTCCTGCCTTTTCTCTTGAATAGTTTACTACTATGTAATATAACAAAAATCTTAGCCACAGCAACGCTTGGCCGAGTCGGCTAGTTTATTTTATAAAAATCATTAATTGTAGTTGTCTCTAGTGTTTCTCACGCTACTAGCGTCTGTATGATTGATCTACCGTATAATTGTGTCATTTCAAACCAAATAAAAAAAAACCTTTTTTATTTTATATTCTGCCCTACCTACAAAATTTACATGCTTAATTTAATATCTGTTTTCATTTTTGAGATGTTGTAACGTTTCAATCAGGTTTTTGGTTTAACAAAACAATTGCCAAAAAAAAGCTCCATTGAGGCTGTTAAATAAAGAAGTTAGTAAGATTATATTGTCACATTATTTAATAAAGTAACGATTTAATTCATATATTTTTTTATCCAAGCTTAATCGATAGCGATTTATAATAATAATCCCGTCACATGTTATCGTATTAAAATTATCACCTGGGATTTCATACAGAACGTTTTCTTTGATAAGGAAGTCGTCATTACATTTTTTTTAAACTCAAGGATTATTAACATAATGTATTTTATATAGGAGTATTATATAAGGTATACTTAATATGTTTATCAATAGAAATAAAATGTATATTGTCGAATTTCAAAACTACGTTTCGTGTATTTTTGTATTGAAATGCGTACAATACGACTTTTTTAACAACTAATATATAAAATTCTCGTGACGCGGTGTTTGTGGTTAAACTCCTCCGAAACGGCTTGACCGATTCTCATGAAATTTTGTGTACATATTGGGTATGTCTAAGAATTGGACAACATCTACTTTTCATCCCCCTAAATGTGAGGGTAGTCCACCCCTAATTTTTTTTTTAATTTTTTGATAATTTTTATTGTTTTATTTTTGTATGATACAGCAGTAAAAAAATACATACAACCCCTAATTTTCATCCCTCTACGATCAACCCCTATTTTTATTATAAATGATATACATGGCAAAACGACGTTTGCCGGATCAGCTAGTTTGTAATATAAAAAAACAGCAGTGTTGACCTAGTAGCTTCACCGTGCGACTCTCAATCTGAGGTCGTAGGTTCGATCCCAGGGATGCACCAATAAAATTTCTATGTGCGCATTTAAAATTCACTCGGACGATGAAGGAAAACTTCGTGAGGAAACCGGGTTGTCTTGGACCCAAAAAGTTGACGCCATCTGTCAGGCACACGAGGCGGACCAACTACTTGCCTATTAGACAAATGATCATGAAACCGATACAGAATCTGCGGCCCGGACCTAAAAAGGTTGTAGCGCCACTGATTTATGTATATTTTTATATGCAAATTGTAAGAAGCATAGTTGTATATTAACGCAACACACTTGAGGTGTCTATTACCCTTATATATATATATATATATTATAACCTCGGGTTACATTCAGGTAAAATGGATAATCGTTCTTGTATAGAAGGCATGTAATGCTAATAAAAGTGCGCTTGCTTGGTTTTTATAACCATGAAACTTATCCAAAGTAACTTGGTGTAACTTTTACAATGATTTACGTTTGTAACAGGTATATAATATATATATTATATAGGTAACATACTAGTATCTTAACTGTTAACTTTGCGCAAAGTTTCTAAATAAATATTTGTTTTTTTTTAAATTTGGAACATTAAGTTGTGCCCAATTACTAAAATAACATTTAGTAATGGAGATTTTAACTTCTTGTCTATGGCTTATTGTTTCAAGTTACCTGGAAGTTGTCTGAGGATATTCTCAAGTATCTGATGTCACGGCCCTGGATACTTTTTCCTGCGGTAGCGATTTGGACATTTGCGTAAGAGTTTGCAACTGTTTGTAGGTAGTTGTTCACCTGTAAATTATATGCATTTTTATCAATGGCCAAGGCCTCAAATATTGTCTATGTAATGAAGATCTCTAAACCCCTTTTGTTAATTACACAGACACCTGATATGTGTAATTAAAGGAAAATGCATCAAAAGACGTCGGAGTTATTCGTAAATAGTGTTTAAAACTAATCGAGTCAGTGCGGATATCGTCGTGGGATTTCATGTCGCTATGGAGTGCTAAACTAAACATGAGGGCAAAATATTTACGGATGAAACGCAATAATAATAATATTAGCGTCACGAAGATGTGCAGCGTTTTTGTAGAAGAAAAGGGAGAGAGCGATTGAGAGAAGGACGAATTACCTTATAGAAATTATATTTTTAAAATTAAAATTTCCTAAAGAGAATTTATGAAATATTAGTATTTTATATTTTAGGCAAAATAAGTTTTCGAAATCTCAAATGACGAATTGTAAATTAAACTGCCACGTGTTTTTATTATCGAAGAAAAAATTTAAAAAATAAATTTATAATCTGTATTAATTTTCGACACTTTTAATATTTTAGTGACAATTAAATTCCTAACGTATCTTCCTTTTCCCTCCCTCTAAGTCTCGAAAATGTAAAGTTTTAGATTTCTATAAATATGAACAAGAGTTAAAAACTAGTTTGCCAAAGAAGTTTCACTTCTGACATGTGTACTTTGTCGCACGCACTTTTTTTAAATTTCTGAACTGAACTTTAATAAATCCTACATGGGATACCTACAACATCGTATCTGTGAATGACATCATACGGTAGAGCTGGACTTGACCTGTTGCTTCTGGCAGCTGCTGCAGACATCAGTTGATCTTCAAGGTCTAATTGTCTGAAATAAAATTGTTTTAGTATGACTTTCAGATGAGTACATGAACAATTAAAAATTAAAAATAAATTAGGTATTAACTGGATACGTGATACAGGTTAGATTTGGATTTGTAATTTTGACATTAAATATATTGTATTATTTCATTTTGGCACTTCTCGTATATTATTAGATTCAACGATAAGAAGCGATCAAATATAAAATCCCCTTACTTAAAACGGACTAATATTATGAACAAATTGTAATTAATTATAATTTGAGCACATTATTTTTCAAGGAATAGTTTAATTCATTATTTTAAAATAAAATGTATTTAAACCCTCTTCGGGACATTTATTTTGATTTCTTTTGTAACTGTAAGGACAAATTTTTAAATTTAAACTATATACTTTGGTAGTTTATGTATTTCTTATGAATTAATAAGTTCCAAATGTGTCTTGGCCTTAGATTGCTTCCGTTTCATCAATAATTAATTTTTATTTTATTGTCAAGTAGGTTATTATTATTATTTACCAGCCTTCTGTATCTAACCCAAGGCACGGAACACACGGTTCTTTTGTTTTTCCATCGTAAGTGAATTTTCTTTATGAAAAATATATATATCGTAATCCATAAGTTGACTTACTCCTTAATGTTGTCGCACTTGACTTCATAAGCGATGTTCGCTCTGATCATCTCCTTCTGGAAGTCCTCTTTCAAGTCTCCCGGTACCAGAATCAAGCTATCCTGCCCAGTGATTGTGGGGTGCCACTTGTCCAAGAAGAAACGCTGTACCACTTCGTTTAAGTATGCTCCTTGGTTGTCGTTTGACACTCTGACTTCATATAGAGCGTGCCTGTAACAAACATATATTATTAGTAAAAAAGTAAATCTAACAGTATGGTTACAACAGTATACTATGATAGTTTCTTGGTAAGATAATTTTTTCAACAGATACACGGCTTAACTAAACTCAAATTATTAACAGGATAAAAGTACTCACCCCAAGTATTCCTCATGTTTAGAATAAACTAAACAAGGGGACAGAAGGAAAAGAAGAAATATCTTATACATTTTGACCAATTTGATTTTGGTCTGTGAACTGTGATATTATCACTAAACACCGGCAAATATATCAACATTATTATCTATATTCTCTTACGATTAAATTATTTAATCTGCTCCGAATTAATGAAATGATAACAGGATTTTAGATAGCTTTAGTTGAAGATTAGTTAATGAAGTAATTAAACTATAGTACTAAGTACAAACTTCAGGAATAATCAACATATTGGATAACCAAATATCATTTATTCACTCCAGATACCCAAATATGTTTTTTATCTTAGAAGAGATTCTAGACATGACGCATACCTGATTGGAATATTTGATGTAAGCTTTATATGTCCGAAATCATACATAGGATCCAACAAGTTAGAGGTAAGGAGGGACCTTAGAGGTAAAATATGCGGGAATGTTGGAGAGACTGGGGCTGCGTGTGCCAAATAACCACACTCGGCGTGGTAAGCGGTCGCATTTGCTGGCAGTGCCTCGGGCGCGAACGAACTTACTCAGAGAAGCACCATTTACGCGTGTCTTGCGCAAATAATAAATATTATTGCTTGTGAGACGGATAATATTTAGTCGCACACTGGCTGAATTCACAAGAATTGCATTATTGATAATTAGTTATAAAAAGGTTTAGATTTTAAGTTTTTACTTGTTATATTTATATTATGTTTTTAGTTTAATTTTCTTTTGTACGTATATTAGTATTAAGTTACTGTAAAAATAGGAAATAAGGAAATTAAATAAATATAGTTGAATTGTATTTTTTAATTTTTAATCACATATTATATTAAAAAATGCTTACCGCTGTGTACTTGTTTGTCGTATATCTTGTAGTAGTTGTAGTAGTAACTAGTAGTCTCTCTTTATAGTAGTTAAAATGTCTTTGTAGCAAATTCCGTACCGACTGTAATCTTCAGTATGGACGCCTTTTGGTTAAAGGCCTCCTCCTGATTTGGATTTCCACATCCAAAAACCTAAATCATGTACTCGTCTAATAGATACTTAGTTATTGAACATTTGTCTGTTTACTTCTTTCTCTGCTCCTCTCGAAAACTATTACCAGTAATGAATTTTTGTATCTTCCTATTTCAGCTGCTTCATCAGCGCCCCGGATATAGAAAAGACATATACAAGAACCTTGGGTGCATTATTGGAAATTACAGAGTGCCGCAGCAATGCATTGTAAAATTGTGGCGTCTTGTTTTGATCTATTATGGCGCCATAAAAAACGCAACTATCCTTATTCGTTATGTAACATCATTCATTGCAATCACAAATTATATTACATATCGAATAATATTATCAACGTTTATCATCTATTTTATGGGAGCCAGAGGCCATTTTGTGAAACGTCTTTTTATTATAAAATAACGGTTCTGTGGTTTATGCGGACCACAAAAAACGTTGCTGTCAGTGTCACCACAAAGACAGGAAATGGTTGCGAAAATGTATCCAAATTAAAACTTATTTAATTTATTAAAATAATAATTATTATCATATCTTTCGATCCATGTTATAATTCCAGCTCATCTCATCTACCATCGTATAATCTAATCTAGCTCACACAATCGACAAAAATATTTTCCAAATAAGAATTAGTCTACACAACTTTAATTAATTGATCGGCAACCGAATTTCCTGAGCCGCTATTACCATCTTTGGTCTGGTTGATTGCTGCCTATCGGTTATGTTGAAGAAGGTTTTCATGTATGAAGCTATCAATATCATCCATGAGCAGGGTTGATCTAGTGATGGAAGCGTGCGACTCTCATACCTGAGGTCGTAGGTTCGATCCACGGCTGTGCACCGATGGACTCTTTTTCTATGTGTGTATTTAACATTCGCTCTAACGGTGAAGTAAAACATCGTGAGGAAACCCGCTTGCTTTAGACCCAAAATGACGTGTTTCAGACACGATAGGCGGATCGACTGCTTTCCTATTAAATTGAAAAATTATCATGAAACAGATACAGAAATCTGAGGCACAGACCTAAAAAGGACCACTGATAGTTTTCCTAATTACTACTGTAATGCGGATTTTAAAAATAAAAATGAATTACTTTTACTAATATTATTAGTATTTTTCAACTAAGTATTATTACATTCTTTTTGTGCCGTGACCAAGGGAAATAGGGATTCATTTTATATATAAGTGTCTCAAATCCAATGCAATGTAGTAGCGTAATTTTATCATTATTTATAGTTACAACATGATAGCGTTAAAATTATAAAAGGATTATCTTTATGGTATTATTTTTGCAGTTGTCTACAGTTTAATTTTGAATGTACAATCATGAGGGCGGAGATAATTTTGTGTCTTTTTAGTGTGATCTCAGCGAAAGCTGAAGAAATTGGGTATGTATTTTCTAGATTGAATAAATTCAAAAATAATATATGAACATTATAATAACGGTAAAAATTGTGAAAAGGTACAGACACAAAGAGGTAATAGAACTTTTTGTTATAACGAAAATTGCATAATTTTAATAAATTATTTACATGCTTTAAATTACAAGCCAGAAATTAGTTTTCCTAGCGGAATTCTGAACCTGTTTTCATGTCACCCAAATAAATTCATTTATATAATAAGTGACACCTCGGAATAATCAATTTAATTAAAAACTATAGCCATCAAATAGAGGCAAAAGGGACTCGTAGGTAGGGGAAACTGGGTTCGATTCCCAAAAGAAAAGATTTTTAAAGTCACGTTAATTTTAATCAATGTAATTTATTACAGACTATGGACTGATTCAAATATAATCAACAACCGTTTATCCTATGATGTATATCATACAACGGAAGAGGTAAATATGTTGCGTAACTACGCCAGAAGTCGGTAACTCACAATTAAGTGTGGGTTTTTGCACCAACCCTAGGGATGTGATGAGACAACAGCGCTTCCACGAGTATTGAGAGAATTACAACGAAATTCCATACAGTTACTTCGGGATCGCTGTTGCTGCTGGAAGTTACAGAGCACTGAACGCGTTTCTCATGTGTAATTTTATAAAGGTGTTAAATATTTTTTACAAAAGATAATTGTAACGAACGCACGCCGATTTATAACAAATAAAGCTCGACAAATAAAATAAAGATTCGCTCAGAAGGTTTTTTTATGTGATGGGAGTCAAACGGGCAGGAGGCTCATCAGATCTTAAGTGGTCCGCCCATGGACACACATTGCCAGAACGCTTGCAATTGCGTTGCCGGCCTTTTAAAAATTGGTGCGCTCTTTTCTTGAAGGACTATGTCGAATTGGTGCTAAATTAACTATGATTATAGCAATACTAAGTATATTTATTTTTTCATTAACACTTCGTTACCTTAAATATACATTTAAAAGAATAGGTTACATAAGATATTAGGCAATGGGCAGTTTTATCACTAACAAGCGATTTCTTCCAGGCAACCCTATAAGTGACAATAAAAAAAGAGACACATACATATAGCAAAGTACAAGAAGGGCATGTATAATTAACAAAAAAAGGAACATAAAATAGCATGTAACACTGCTTATCTTAGGGTTAATGAGTCACAATTAATATATATAAGTAGCTAATTACCAGGCAGAAGATAAAAGAACATTTCACAGTATTATATAGTCCTACAAATGCAAATTGCCGCTAGTGTTTAAATATTTTAATTTATTAGAGTGTTTTGCAGAAATAAAGTTTGCAATCGATTGTATTGTGAAATAAACTTTCTCAAAAATAAAATGTTGTTGCCATTGTTGTAAAAAATAAATTATTACGTACGGTAAAAATCGACAATGTTTCCTACAGTTGACCACCCACTTGCCCACACATATATATAAAGTCAAGTCAGCGCTGGACTGACGCGCATAGATTTGTAATATAATGTTTCATAGAAAACAGCCTTATCACAAAATCGAATTTCAGATTGACAACTATTTGAAAGAAATAGCTGAAACTTACCCAAATGTCGCGAAACTGGAAACTCCCTCAAAGTCATTCAACGGTCGTCCGATTAATTTACTTAAAGTATCCACTACGAATTTTGAAGACCAATCGAAACCTATAATTTTGATTGACGGAGGTATGCATGGACGGGAATGGCTAACAATACCTCCTGTAACATACGCCATTCACAAACTCGTCGAAAATGTTACGGAGCCCGATTTGCTTGACAAGTTTGACTGGATCTTTTTGCCAATGGCAAATCCTGATAGCTATAACTTTTCCATTGTTTCGGTGAGTACAAATGCATTAAATAAAGTATGGTACTTACCTGATGGTAGTCTACTCTCGCTAGGTTCAAGCAAAGAATATCTAAGAATCATTAGTTTTGTCCAAGTTTTTAGATAGAAACAGAATATAAGTCTTTCCTCCAATTTTGTGCCTTTAGAGTAGAGACTCTTGGGCCGTGGGGGTAAGTGCACAGGGGCTAATTAAATATTGAGGTTGGCGCCAGGTAGTTCGTACCGGTGACCCCAGAGCTGGTGCTCACCTCGATCAACGTATAAGTATCGCAATGCAGCGAGGAAATGCTGCCGTTACAGGTACACTGCCACAGGGCCAAACTTTTAAAATTTGTTTTAAGTTTGTAGTTAATTTTTAACTATTATTATTGTATGTTAAGAATATATTTGTGTGTTGGAATTAAATACTTTTAGATAGTTAGCTATATGTCATACCGATATTTATTTTCATTACCCATAATATAATATCTACAAAGAACGGTTTGATATCATCATCAATATTTAACATTAAATACTTAATTAAGGTCGATATGTCCTTAACTCAATGAGAAGAAAAAGGCACACGTTGCAATAAGGGAACGACACAGGAACAATGGAAACGGTTGAACTGAAATATTATTCATTATAATATTCAGTTGTTGGTACTGATACAGTTGTGACTAAGTATTGTGTCACAACACGATATATGTGTATAGTACATGATTGAGGGCGTAATTTATAAATAAAATTGGCGAGTAACCCAACGTTATCCAACCAAAGCAAGTAAAAAGGGAAAATAAACGTCAAAGAAACCGCTACCCTCAAAAAATTCATAAAATAGTCTCTATTACAACCAAAATATAACAATCCACAAATTCTGTCATACTACAAGTATAGAACTCAAATTTTAGATGTATATAAAAGTGGTCACTAGGAAAGTGTGATAAACGGTATTATCTAGAATTACAACGTTATTAATAATAAGTAATTATAGATAATCTTAATATATATAAATTACGTGTCACGTTGTTTGTCCGCTATGGACTCCTAAACTACTAAACCGATTTCAATCAAATTAGCACACCGTGTGCAGTTTGAACTAACTTAAAAGATAGGATAGCTTACATCTTCATTTATACCCGTAATATTATTTTATTGTAAATTATTTGTTTATTATTTGACGTTCTAACAGATGGCGATGTGTTGAAAGTACCAACGTTTCACATAAGCTACAATTTAATGGCATAACCACCAAAAAAGCATGTTCCCCATGGGTCCCCATGACTGGCGTTCTCCTACCGTTTCCCTTGAATAGTTAACTACTATGTAATAATATAACAAAAACTTTAGCCACAGCAAAGCTTGGCCGACTCTGCTACATAGTACTGTTATATTTCTTGGAACGATTTCTTAATTTTTCCTTCACGTTGTTTTTCAGAGTGTCGTGTGGCAGAAGACACGTTCGACTGATAACCACCCTTTGAGTGCAGTATGTCTTGGTGCTGATATGGACAGAAATTTTGAGTTCGCTTGGAGACCCATTGACCTCGATGGTACACCTTGCACACCGCTTTACTCAGGCAACAGACCATTTTCAGAAATTGAAACGAGAAACCTCAGAGACATCATCCATGAAAACCTTAACAGACTGCGGATGTATATCTCGTTTGACAGCTTTGGTTCCAAGGTCCTCTACCCGTGGGGACATGAACCAACCTTGTCAACCCAGGCTCTTGGTTTACATACAGTTGGGGTAGCTATGGCAGAAGCAATGAATAAATACGCTGAAGACAATGAACATCCATTTCCTCTTGGTTACTCAGTTGGAAGTGAGGCTATCATGCGAGGGTATACTGTAGGAGGAATGTCCACTGACTATGCCCATTCTGTTGGAGTGTTTCTAACATATAAGATAGAAGTTCACGGCTTCTTCGGAGGATACTTCCAAGCGCCCAGGTATATCATCCCAACAGTTCTTGAGACCTGGGAGGGAATAGTTGCTGGAGCTCGCCGGGCATACACATTGTTTTAGTTCCATTAAAATAAAATAAATATTGATTTTATTAGTCCCTTCTATCATTTCAAAAATACCCGTTTAAACTAACAATTTATAAATAAACCGGATTTTTTTATAAATAGTTTTATATTGAAATTGATTTAATGCATTGTATTTATTTTTTATATTAAATAAATACTTATGAACGTCAACAGAAAAGATGTGAAATTGATTCTAAATTTACATTTGCTACAAGATCACAAGTCGAGGGCGTAGAGCGGGCAAGAAGAACTGGCAAGAAACTCTCTGCCATTCTTTTTAATCGCCAAGTTTACATACAAATTGTTTGTAAGGAAGAGCAACAATAAATATTTGAATTGGAACAAATGATTCCCAAGGATTAGGATCATTTAAATAATTATTAAAATTATAAAAAGCTTTATTGATTAAAACTAATATAATGCTCAGAAACTGCCAAACTAAGGTAACTGATTGACTGATTTGTAGCCTGTAGTAGAATTTCGTATCACCACTATGTGACACACTATAGGTATCATTTATAAATATTGGAGTCGAATTTGGCTTCAAACTTATATATAAATCAATTGTGTGCTAAACCCAGCGTTGGAACATTCGCCAGGGGATTAAAGTTTCAAACAATAAAGACACGCTTGGATAACTGCAAATCGATAATTGAAGTTGTACTGGTAATTTGTCTTGTAAAGAAGTTCACAAGTGATTTTTTGAACATTAGAAGGTTGGCTTTTAACCACATATACATTACACGTCTAAGTAAATAATTTATGTAATTTTTTTCAAGCACAAAATATCACGTGTACCCTTAAACATATAATAATTTACCTCTTGTTTATCATAGATAAAAACAAAAATATTTATTATAGATTTTAGAAAATCTAAATTATAAAAACGACACAAAGATGTGTTATAATATAACTCATTACTAATCTTTCGGTTCAAAGGTACATTATTTCTCAAAGAATTACATTCACTTAATGAGAAAATTTTGAGTAAGTTAGTAATGTACATCGTGTTATGAAATTATTTGAAAATAAGCTATATAAAATAAAAACATTAGTTGCTAACAATATGTATAATATTTTTTACAAAAGTGCAGGTAGGTCGCATCGATGTCACAACAGGCATAGTGTGACTAATGAATAGTAACATTTTCTTAGACGCCCATTCACAGAATAAAGCTAAAAGTGATTTTTTGATGTTTTGTAAATTTATATTCATTCTATTATTTTAATTGAACTTTTTTCGATTTTTATAGACACATATATACATATGTTTGTGTCCTTTTGTTGAAGTGAAACTTCTTTATCGGGGTTGGAAAAAAAATTTAGTGTAACATTTTTGCGTTACGCGTCACATTTTTCCGTTACGCGCCATGTTGCTTTTTGAAATCAAACTTCTTTATCGGCGTTAAAATATGACATATAGTATGTTTTTGACTTTGAAGTTTGACAACGGATTACATTTTTGACTTGAAATTTGCTAATCGCAATTTGCAGCAATTAATTTGTAAATTGTATGCTAGGCAGTGTATCAAAATTTACTGTGTTTAAAGAAATAGTTTCGGACCTCTAAACTTAAAACAAACCAATTATGGCTCTGCGTACAACAAAGGTTTTATATAAGTTTCACTTCTTACGTGTGTACACCTAGTACACGCACACATTTTTATTTTGTAGGTATGTCGTTAATTACTTGAACTTTTAAATTTGTAAAAAGTATTTATTTTTAAACAGTTTTATTATATTAAATATTTATGCGCCTTGATACCATTATGTTAAGTTTTCTGTAAGTAGTCCTTGGTTGTATTAAAAACTATTGATCAATATTTCTTATTGAATATTTTGAATTTAATTTTTGTGCAAAGGATACGTTTATATCTTTTAAACCTGCGTAACATATACCAAATAATAACACATAGGTATAGTTTTTCATACATCGCTACGTAAGGGCCGCGGATCTGTATTAGTACTTGATTCTCAACGCACGCAGCCAAACGTAATGCACCTTCTTTTCGTTATCTCATCCTCTTCAAACAACCAAGTTTCCATACTATAATCATAGATATATATGTACTAGACAACTAGTAATCTAAGTCGGCAGCTGTGAGCAGTAGAGCATAGAATGGTATTAGCTTATGCGGCGCAGGCTTCCAACTTGCCTGATTTATCCGACATCTTCAATCGTCGTTTGTTGAGTGCACTAAGAAGGTTGTTAATAAATAAATAAATTGTATATTTGCAAAGAGGTTCAATCAGATTTATTAATTATAAAAGCCGCACAATCAGCCGTATATTTAATAAGAATATGATCTTAATGATAACTAATGTTGATGAAACCGCAAACACCTAAATTCAATCAATAGTAGAAATCCTTTTAAAAATAATAATTCTTTTTCGTATATTATGAACTGTGGGCTGTGGTTTCTTCTGTGTTCAGTAACGTCATGTTACAAATTTGCTCAAACCTTTAGAGTTTAGTGCGAACAATAATTAATCAGATACTTCAGAATTATTGTATTAATACAGTGTGTTCTTAATAAATATTTATTTCGAATAGACTAGACTCGTCAGTTAAGAAATACATATTAATGCTTCTAATTTTACATTTAGTGCCTGTTATCAAATCAAGGGCGTAGAACGGAAGAGAAGAACTGGCAATAAACTCACCGCCACTCTTTTTAATCGCCATGTTGTTTTTTAATCAACGTTTGTAAGGAGCTGCAACCATTACACCATGTTCTACATGACATCTTAAGTAATTAATAATAATAACATAAATTAAAAACAAAGACTTGTCCTCTATCAGCAGGAGGCATGGTGAAATAAGAGCACGAACTTACATTCTCGTGGGAACAACACGCAAATACATAGTCGAAATAATTAACATCACCGCATACACGAATTCAAGTACGACCAGTCAGTATCCCTTAAGTACAAAGAAACCGAGTTCTTGGAATCCACTTCGGTTACTTATACCCCCAATATTTATCACTCAGGAAACTAAGAGATAATTCGAAACAGCCGCAACTTTATTCACATCGAAAGGTAAAAACAAAAACATTATTAAATCGCTGCGAGAATACTTATGGACGAAAAGAATTTTCAATGAATTCGAATTACCACTGCACACAGAAACAATAGCTAATGTTTTTCTTTGAGTCCAATCTTCTAATTGAATTCGTGCTGTGCTTTGAGAAAATTGAAAAACGATAATGGTTTTTTTATAATTTTCGAACCTGCGTTCGATAAAACTACGAAGATTTTTCAAAAATTCCTTAAATTTAATTTTTATTATATATATTACGATAATAATGAATTCTTAATGAATAATGAATCCCTGGGCCGACACAGTTCTGTGCCTATTACGTAATCCGTAATCGCCAACAAAAATCGAATTATTAAAATTATTATCTTTGGTCCCAAAATTTACGTGATCACCAAAACAAATACAAAAAGGCACATACTTAAGACATATACCTTGTGGATTATATTAGGTACTTTAGAAATTAACATAGATATTTTAAAAAAAACGAAATAAATCTACTATACCTAATTTCAATGTATTTGTATAATTGCGTAAAACAACGTTAATTTCGAAAATAAGGTTTTTCTTATAATTCTTCGTTTACGCAAGTATTGCGTGTTGTTCCCAGGAGAATGTAATTGTGTGCTCCTATTTCCCCATGCCTCCTGCTGATAGAGGACAAATCTTTGTTTTTAATTTATTTATTATGATATATTACTTAAGATGTCATGTGGAACATGGTGTAATGGTTGCAGCTCCGTATAAACATTGTGTAAAACAAAATATTAGCGATTAAAAAGAGTGGCGGAGAGTTTATTGCCAGTTCTTCTCTTCCGTTCTACGCCCTTGATTTGAGAACTGGCTGTAAATGTAAAATTAGAAGCATTTCTTTTTTGACGTTCATAAGTGAACATTGTGTTACCTATATGAATAAATGATTTTGACTTTGATTTAAATATAACATTGACGGATAAAATGGGAAATTACATTACTTAACATAACGTTTCAGTAATCAGCGTGGGACCCTCAGAGGGATCAAATCCAAATCCAGTTTTAATATACTCCACTGGTTATATTGATATGACAAAAAATATATTTGATACCGAAAAACCTAATAACAATCCCATTAGGTTCACCGAACAAAGGTGATATTATAAGGGATTTTACAATACTTGATTATTTCAATATCCACAGAAGCTTACAAGATTGATAGTCCAATATTGAATTGGATTCTGTCGGTGAATCTCATTCTGATGCGATCTCTTTAAACTAATATTTGGATTATTTGTATTTCTTCACGGTTTGATACATTTCTTTTCTTAATTTTTTTATTCAAAGTAAGATAATGATGTCATGTATATAAAATTATATTAAAAATATTAGTTCATTTAAATTATAGGAAACTATTACAATTGAATGTGTTGTTTTAATTAGAACGGGAAGCTTACATTTTACGATTAAAAAAATATATTTTCTGGACTTAAACGACCAGAACTCTTTCTAAATTCTATCAGGAACTATATAACTATTGTGTGTAGAATGATAATTTTTTTTCTTCTCTGCTAAATCCACGAAATGGTCGTGGAACCTAAAAATCTACCACACGTCAGGCATAGAAGGCTGGAAGGCTACCATTACCCTTTGCAATGTCACATTCTAACAGAATCGTTAAATTTATTAAATAATTTAAATGAAATGGATTATTTATTTTAATAGTGTTTTTTAGAAGTCTGACTAAGGCTTAATCAAACTTGGGAACTCTGTGGTTTGACCCTTCTGTATAAAGGTAACCACTTCAACTTCGACAGTTTAGTTCAAAAAGTTTTTAGCTGTTTAGCTTTAGTTTAAAAGTCAGTTTAATTTCTTTGAATTTCTAATCGCCTCGATACTTAAGCCCTACTCATCCGGGAGCCTTATCTTTACACATAATAAATTTTGATAAATATTCATGAGGAAATGATTACAATTATTATAATATTGAAAGCAACAACAAAGTTAACATATTTAAAGTAATAATAAAAACAATTAAAAATTAATAAAAAGAAAATTAAAACAAATTAAAAAAAGTTTGGTCTCTGTGGCAGAGTACCTTTAACGCAGGCAGAAATTCCTCGCTGTGTTGCGATACTTATTCGTTGAGCGAGGAAAGAACCAGCTCTGGGGTCACCGGTACTATCTAACTGGCGCCAACTTCAATCTTTAATTAGCGCCTGTGCACTTGAATCCACGGTCCAAGAGTCTCTACTCCAAAGGGAACAAAATCGAAGTTGAAGGAATATACATATTCATTCGTTCAAGCATAGTTCAAAACATACAAAGTACATCCATTTATTTTGCCAACATATAAAAATACACAATTTTGTCATAAAAATCATGTCATCGTAGAGGTGGACATATGACAAACACAATCTATCAAGTACATTAAAGACATAAAACACAGGCAAAATCGCAAAATCGTACAGAAGTGCACATTGACAGCTCATTCACAGATATTACGCCCATAGTCGTAGTATCAAAATAAACGAAGTTATTAACAAAATCGTAAGAGTACTGCACACGTCAGTATGGACCTCAGTTTAGTTATAATACAAATATACATAACGAATACTAGGAAATAGAGAAGAGAAACGCCACTGTTTTTGAAGTGAAACTTCTGTAGGCGCATGAGGGTAAATTTTTTACAGAAGGTCACGAATATGTGCAGCGTTTTTGTCGCAGAAATGGAAGAAAGCGATTTCAACCGATTGAGAGAGAGTGAGAAGGGCTAATTACTTTATAGAAGTTCTATTTTTAAAATTAAAATTTCGTAAAGAGAATTTATGAAATATTAGTATTTTATATTTTATGTAAAATAATTTATTGAAATTTTAAATGACGAATTGTAAATTAAAATGCCACGTGTTTTTAATATCAAAGAAATTAATTTTAACAAATCAAATTTATTATTTGTATTATTTTTCGACACTTAATATTTGAATGACAATTAAATTCCTAACATATCTTCCTTTTTCCCTCCCTCTAAGTCTCGGAAATCTAAAACTTTAGATTTGTATAAATATAAACAAGAGTTAAAAATTTGTTTGCTAAGAAAGTTTCACTTCTGACATGACGCACTTTTTTTTATTCTAAAAAACTCTCAGCTGCAACCGCTATACCTCTCCAAACGTTATCTACAACGGTTTTAATATCTTCTGCTTGTACATCTTGATCTTGTACATCGATATTAAACGCATATAACACACCATTCAACGTTAGATAATCTGTGCTAGTTCCAGAAGCACGATCACCAAATGCCAAAGAACCAATGTCTAGATTGTAATCACCACCCATGGCATCCACCATTTGTGTACCCAGAACATAATGCTGGCGAAACATGCCACTTGCCGCGCGTTCATACTGCCATGGGTAGGCAATGAAGCCGGCTGTATTTTGCAAGGAAATATATAGTAGTATACGTTCACTGTACTCCATGTGTAGTGATCTGATAAATCTGGTTTCCGGTTCCGAAAATGGCTCCGTACCAGCGTATAAATGGCTGCAGGGGCTTGTGCTGGAGTCGGATATTTGCCAGTCAATATCGAAATTACGATTGATGTTTACGCCGGGACAGATGGTGCCAAGATTGCTGCGCACGCTTCGATTTTTCGTCCAAAGACGAAGCTGTAATTTTAGCTGATCAATAAACAACAATAAAATAAAATAAAATGATTCATTCACCAAAGATAATTCCTTTTAACTAACAAATTATTATACTACCTTTTTTTATCATTTAAGAGCAGTGTTGGACAACCTAAACTAATCTACTTTAGCTTCGACTTCAGCGTCCGACTCTCATCCCCGAGGTTGTAGGTTTGATCCCCGGCTGTGCAACAATGGACTTTCTATCTATGTGAGCATGTAACATTCGCTTAAACGGCGAAGGACACCGGCATGCCTTAGACCCAAAAAGTCGACGGCGTGTGTCATGCACAGGAGGCTACTCACATTTTCTATTAGATTGACAAATTATCATGAAAATTATACAGAAATCTGAGGCCCAGACTTCAAAAGGTTGGGCCACTGATGATTTTATATTAACTAGTTATAGTTCCGCTAGATATCGCATTGCGTAATGACATCTGAGTCATTATGCTCATTAATAATTTTTCTTTGAAAATAATCAGTCACATATGCCTGACATACTTACTACATGTTGTTTTGTAGTAAGAAAGTTTTAGGGACACCCAAGGCTAAAACCCGTCTTTTGTAGTGAGAATATAATATACAGGTTTTAGCACCTTAAACTGTAAAAGAGACCCGAAAAGGGCAACATCTATCTTAAACATAAAAATATAAAACACTTAGGCCGTTTCCTGGAAGAATCCTTCATTAAGTAAACATTTCATTTATTTTATTTTACGTAGAATTAATCTTAAAAAAGCCTTTGTTTAAGAGCCTGTCGTTGAGAGGAAACTTTGCATAATCTTCACTAGTTCAAGAGAGATCTGTTCATGAAATTTTAATCTAAAGTTTAGCGTCTTTATAAGTAATGCAGTTAAGTGATATGACTATGATAAATTTGTTAACTTATATACTAATTTTACATACTTCTTGAGATACGAGTCATAGTTCGCGCTAAGTTTTGAGTCTTTCTTGTCATTTTACTAGATTGAAACATATTATCAAATATCCGATTTTAAAGTCTTCCTAGCGTCTATATTTTGTTCTTATTTAAAATTAGTTATATCTTAAACGTGAGCAGTCTTGGCCTAATGGCTTCAGCGTGCGACTCTCATACCTGAGGTTTAGGTTCGATCCCCGGCTGTGCACCAATGGATTTTCTTTCTATGTGCGCATTTAACATTTGCTCGAACGGTGAAGGTAAACATCGTGAGGAAACCGGCATGTCTTACACTCAAAAAGTCGACGGCATGTGTCAGGCACTGGAGACTGATCACCTACTTGCCTATTAGATTTAAAAATGATCATGAAACAGATTCAGAAATCTGAGGCCTAAAAAGGTTGTAGCGCCACTGATTTATTATATTTTTTTATATCTTAAACGTGCCCTGTCGTTTTGCATTACTGTATTATAGGAAATATATATTTGCTCGCGTATTTTAATATAACATATCACGACAGACAACATATATAATGCATCCAGCAAACAAAAATCGACTATTGTCATTTTATTAGTTAGATAATTCCTAATTTTATTATCTTGAATTAGCTTTTATGTGTTTTGATTTAATTTTTTTATATTAAAATTAGTTCTACTATTTAAGATAAACATTTACATCATTACATATTATATTGTGTTACTCTAACGGTCTTAGCAGCGCACGACAGAATAGCTCGCAGATGGTAGATTTTTTTCTACTTACTTGATATTTTCGACAATTCACAAAAAAAATCAAATCAAATCTTTATAAATTGTAGCCTATGTGTTATTCTGATGTACCTATAAGCTATATCATTGTAAAGTTTCATTACAATCCATTCAGTTGTTTTTACGTTAAACAGTAACAAACATCCATCCATACTTACAAACTTTCGCGTTTATAATATTAGTAGGATGTTTATGGTACCTACATTGGTGTGTGTATATTCATAACCATCTGGATTCACCACTGGAATAATGATCCAGTCAAAACCATCCAGTAATCGTCTTTGCTGAATCACTTTGTCCACAACATTTAACGCGGCGGGCACAGTAATCCACTCACGTGGATTTATTCCAGCTTCTATGATAACCACTGAATTATTTCTAGTTGGATTGCCTATTTTGAAGTAGACGATGGGTCTACCTTCGTCAGTTGTTCCATTTTCTACTAATTTAATTTCTATATCAGTGGAGTTTTCGTATGAGGTTTCAATTGTTTTCATGTAGTCTATGATCTGGAAAACACAGAAATTTTTATTATGAATTATGAATAATTTTAGCCTGGCTTGCGAATTTCAGATGTCATTGTAACCAGTCATCATCATGTAACAGAAAAGATGTTAAATTGATTCTACATTTACATTTACTACCAGTTCGCAAGGGATTAAAGCGGCTAAGACACTCCACCACTCTTTTGAATCGCCAATTTTTGTCAATCAATCCCAAGGATTAGGATCATTTAAACACTCGACAAATTTATAAAAAGCTTTATTGATTAATTTACGTTTAACGAGACTTTTGAATTTATTCAGTTATAATTCTGGGAGTTTGTTGCAAAAACGAATACAATTTTTATATAAGGAGTGGTAAATCTTCTGGAGCCTGGTTGGTCGTACGCTGTAGATTCAGGCTCAGAAGACATCATCAAATAGAAAATGTATATGATAGATGCAGGAATGCGTCGGCCATATGCCCCATTACCGCTTACTCTATTATTAAACAAATATTGGCTAGAAGCATTAGTATCTTATAAGTTACTGTTTCAGTTAGAATTATTTAACCAATAGAACGGAATAAACAGTAGACACTTATCCGGAGCTAGATATATTTGGTAGTGCGCTCAATTTAAAAAAAAAGCATTTGTTTATCCCAATCCTACTCCGCTGTTTTGCTAGTATTTTTATTTTCTATATATTTTAATTTATAATTGTCATGTATTTAAGAAAAGATAGTTTGTAACATATACTGAGATATAGCATTATGTCGGGGACTTTAATAATTAATACGTGATATAAGAATTTGTCGTTTTCGTGTTGGATCTACTTATATTTTATAGAACAAACGGGCAGGAGGCTCACCTGATGTTAAGTGATACCGCCGCCCATGGATACCCTTAATGCCAGAGGGCTCGCGAGTGCGTTACCGGCCTTTTAAGAATAGGTACGCTCTTTTCTTGAAGGACTCTAAGTCGATTTGGTTCGGAAATACTTCAGTGGGCAGCTGGTTGGTTTTTGATTATTTAGAAATTTTATTCATATTTCCTGTTAGCTTTTCCAACTAGTAAACCCGATATTAATAAAATAAATAGTATTTTTGTTTTTATTTTATAATACATTAAATAATGGTATATCGACTTTAATTTAAATTAAATATATTAACCTTATCATATCTGTAGTATCCCGCAAAGTCGAAAGATGTATCGGCATTTTTGAACTCTTGTGTTTCCAATAAGTACCTGAAATTGTCAATATACCATTTAAGAATATATATTTAAGAACTAATTTATTAAGTTCTCTCTCTTGTCTTGTCTTAAGAAGAAGAGACAAGTCTTCCAGGACATCAAGCATTTTATGATAACTAACTTGTTTATCTTTTCTTTTAAAGAAAGTCTACAGCTGTGATACTTTTTGACATTCAACACCTTTTGTCTTCAGTCACCGTGACCACGCACGCTGTAAAGCACGCAAAACGTCGGATAAATTTAAAATTATGTTAAATAATTGTAAATTTATAATAATACATAACTTTAATCCGGTAAAAAGTTTTTTCTTTAAATGTGTAAAGGTTACGTCAATCAAAGACAATACTATATATTTTTTTTGTTTAGAAATAGAACTTCACTGTCCGGCCACTATTCCATCTGATGTTAAGTGAGAGGGCACGCCTGTTCAGTAGATGCCTATTTAGACGCTACTTAAATAACCCTAGTTGTATGTAGAAAAGATTGAAGGGGGAAAGAAGTTTCACTCTTTCATTGTTTTTACAAGAATCCATATCGCGTAGAACAGGACTTGGGGATGTCAACAACGAAGAGATGACACTCCAACGTGCTCCTAGACGAGTGTTGTTTGAAAGGCAATGACGGAATCAGGTAGTTCCAAGGAGCAATGTCCGGAGTGCTATAGAAAACTGAAATGCAGACAACTGGACGGCAATATCCAGCTTAAGAGTGGAGATTTAATGAGTCAATCATCTTTTTCGCCTCTCCATCCAAGGCACCTAGATGACACTTAGCAGCACCGGCCCAGAGGTGACTGCAGTACTCTACACACCGACCGACTTATGTAAGTTGTTTTTTTTATATAATAGAAGGACACTCGCACTCTCAGAAGGTTCGCAAGTGTATTGCTGGCCTTTTGAGGATTGGTACGCTCTTTTCTTGAAGGACTCTAAGTCAAAATGGTTTGGAAATACTTCCAGTATGAAGCTGGTTATATATAGTGGTGGTGCGCGGCAAAATATGCCTTCAGAAACGCTCGGTTGTGGAATGACGGACGTCGAGGTGATACGGATGGTATTTTCTATTCCGTCTTCACGTCTGATAATGAAACCCAGCTACAAGTATTAGTCTGAACAACTCCTTTGAACACTCTCCATGGTATGGTAAATGAGGTAGAAGTTGCATAGTGAACCCACATCTTATGATAACTTGTAAGTCTTTAGAAAAAACAATTTTTGCTATACTAATTTTTTAGGTATACATAAGGAGACACTATGTCATACTTTATAAATAGGACCGATCCTGTAAAAAACATAGTATAGTTTCTGATATCGAAGCCAATAACAGTAACTGTGAAATATAGTTCATAATTTTATTAACGATAAAGATACTCACTCAAAAACGTCATTGATTGCAATCTCCTTCTCTACTCCTAGTTCCTCTAATTTGTCTTCAAACCACATTCTATGTGACGGTGGGACCATAGCCTTGCCCACAACTCCATATTTCTGAGATGGCTTCCTCCAAAAGTCTATTCCATCACTCTTTAGTAGGTGAAGGTTTTTCTGCTGTTCTTCTGTCTTTAAGTCTATGTTATATACTTGATATCTAAAATAAATCACAACAGGCGTTATTTTACATATATTTTCTAGCTGATTCCCCGTATATAAATGAGGTATTAAATAACTTTATTACTTAAGTAAATGGTATTGGTAACACGGATGATTTAGTCTATTACCTATTTCTTTTAACAACGTTTTGTATAACATTTACAGAAAATTCCAGAAAGATGCCTCTTAACCTATTGCTGAACATTATAAATTATTTTAAGATCGTCTCTGTTACTTTCATTCCCATAGCTTGTTCTTGACTTGAGCCATTTAGTATAAGCCATTGAGCCATTTATATATTTAGACAAAACATGGTCTCCCCATGCTCCCGTTAATCAGTCGTTAACTAATCATAATTCGTAGACATCTATGACATATTCGTAGAATACCGTTGTAAATAAATAAATAAATCTCCATCAGCTCAAAGGAGGCTCAATTTAAAGGAACACTCTGCGAATTACATGAATTACACAGCTCACGTGGCTTTGAATTTAATACTTTTTGTAGAACAGGGGGCAAACGGGCAGGAGGCTCACAATGACAGGGGACTCGCGAGGGCGTTGCCAGCCTTTTAAGAATTGGTACGCTCTTTTCTTTTCTGATCTTGACGAATTACTATAGATAACTGCTTTAGACGCCTGCAAGTGGAAGCTACGTTGCCGGCCTTTGAGGATGTAGTATGTTTTTAAGAATAATAATTCTCTACGAGCAGTGTTGGCCTAGAGGCTTAAGCGTGCGACTCTCATCTCTGAGGTCGTAGGATGGATCCCTGGCTGTGCACCAATGGACTTTCTATGTGCGCATTTAACATTCGCTCGAACGGTGAAGGAAAACATCGTAAGGAAACCGACATGTCGTTGACCCAAAAAGTCGACGGCGGGTGTCAGGCACAGGAGTCTGATCACCTACTTGCCCATTAGATTGAAAAATGATCATGAAACAGATTCAGAAATCTGAGGCCCAGACTTAAAGAGGTTGTAGCGCCACTGATTTATTTTTATTTTTTATTAATTGTCACTTACCCCTTATACCCTTCATGTTTTCCATAAACACATAACACAATGTTAAATACTAAAAAAAATATACAACATTTTTGTTTATCGTTTACTGATACATAGTATAGGTATATCTTATTGTTTTTTCACTGTTAAAAACTTATCACATAATCATAATTCCGTGATAATATATTTTAATAATCTTAAATTGTCAAAATTATAATTCCTCATGTATATACTATCAATAATATTTATCTATATATACTATCAACTACTTTATGTTCGTATAAATATTTTCTTGCAATTTAAAATATATATATTGTTAGCCGTTAGTCCGTTTGTTCGGAACAAGATCAATTTAAATATAGTATGTTAGTTTTGTTATAAAGTTAACTTAAGATGATTTTTTAAATCTACAAGAGACATTCTTTCAACATCATTGTATTCCTTATGTAGTAGATAGTCTTGGGCCGTGGGGTTTAAGTGCATAGCTAATTACAGATTTATGTTGGTGCCTGGTAGATAGTACCGGTGACCCCAGAGCTGGTGCTTTCCTCGTTCAACGAATAAGTATCACAATACAGCGTGGAAATGCCAGCATAAGAGGTTCACTGCCACATTGACCAAATTTTCTCAATTATTTTAGTGTTTTATTTATTTATATTAATAACTATACAATATATATTCTATTAGATATACTTACCTAAATTATACAAATAGGCTTCATTCAGTTGATGGTTTTTAAAGACAAGCAAGATAAATTAAGTTTATGCCATGAAGTTATAAAGAATTTAGAAATCAGCCCTGCGATTCTGTAACTCACTTTTCGAACTCATACACCGGTTTTCGCATCGGCGGTCGCTCTCAAATCAGTCGTGAAGCAGTCATTTTATGATTTGGCATTCTGAAAAGGTGGGAGCTTGTAGTTTATTGTTTATCAGAATGCCAAATCATGTGTGATGATCAAAAAGTTCAAAAAGTTAGTTACAGAATCGCAGGGCAGATCTATTTGTTATATAATAAAATCAGCATTTTAACACATGATACCGGAGAAATAAAAGTCATCAAAAGTATTTAATTGATATAATTTAATAAATCTGATAAGGAAAAAAATACAATACGATTAGTTTCTGAGTACGAATCTAGCTCCAGTTTTAATACCCTCCCAAGTTTCGATTCCAGCTTGTTCAATGAACTCAGGGTCTACGAGAAAGCCTAGAACGTGAAAGCCTATTCTGGATGCTGGAAGCTCAAAGGTATAAGATAGAGGAATGCCAATAGACTGGGCGTAGTCGTTGGTGGTACCTGAACTCTTGTACATAATCATAGCTGAATTTCCCACTCTATATTCTCTGTTATGGGCAACTTTAACCGCGTCAATTGCTTGAGCCATATTGACACCGGCCAGATGAAGAGTCAAGGCATTTGATGGTAATTCTTCTGAGCCGTAACCGTAGAGGATCATGCTGCCATAGCTGTGGAGGTCTATGAACAGCTGGGTCCGGTTGCCATATTGGTCAAAGACGGTTTTGACAGCTTGGGTTTCCGGTTCGGAGAATGCGCTTCTTCCGTGGAAGACTTCGGTGCAGACAAAGTCGCTAGACCACCGACCCCAATTGTAGTCGAAGTTCCTATTCAGATCTACGCCAGAGCAAATGTCAAGAGGCATGTAGCCGGTGGCTCGGTTCTTACGCCAGAATCTTTCCTAAAAGTAAATCAAAGAAAAATATATAAGTTCTCATTGTTATTGCTTTTAAACTCCAGAAATATATACTGATAGGGATCTTATTATAAATCCTTCCTATAATGTATTCCTGCTTCAGATTTTTGTGTATCAAACTAAGGCCACTTCTGACAAATGACACACGTAAAAAAAAGAAGAAATGTAAATATATCAAATGGAATTTGTTGATGTTGTCGCATTAATTTAATCACTGTTACCATAGGCTATTAATTCTTTACCCCACTCGAGTGTTATTATTTATTACGAGAAAATATAATGGCAATGACAGCTACTACCTTGATGGTTAGCAATCGCTACCTTAAATGAGCTTTCTGTTTTCAAATTTGGTTTGTTGGTTTTGGTAATATTTACAGATAACAACAACCATTTCAGATCATACTCAAGAATGAACTATTAAAGAACACTAGTCTTGAAGTTAGCCTCCGAAACGAGAAACTTTTGCCACTCCCTCTCCTCTCCAGAGTGACACATTTTGGAGTCACCGAACCAGAGGTTGAGTGAGTACCTTGTACTTGTAATTTAATAATAACTAAGTCAATCAGTAACATACTTCTCCATGAGAAGCAACATATCCATCAGGGTTGGCAACTGGCAGAATTATCCAATCAATTTGGTTCACCAGATCAGCATCAGTTATGTCAGTAACAAGTTTCTGGATGGCGTAAAGACTGGCTGGCAGAGTCACCCACTCACGGGCGTGTAGTAAAGATTGGATGAATACTACTGGCTTATTGGTGTCCTGAAATTATAATCTATTAAATAATAATCGATTTCAAAAGAAATATTCAATTAAAGCACCATTATTAGTTTTAAATGAAATAATGATTTATTTGGCAATTATTTTATTTTTATCTGCGTAATTACTAATAATTACAGTGCAGTGTTGGCCTAGTCACTAGTGGATTCAGCGTGCAACTCTCTTTCCTGAAGTCGTAGGTTCGATCCCGGCTGTGCACCAATGTACTTTCTGTCTATGTGTCAAGCACAAACGGCGAAATAAAACATAGTAAGGAAACCGGCTCGCCTTAGACCAAAAAACGTCGACGGCGTGTGTCAGGCATTTGGCTGATCCCCTACCTGCCCATTAGATTGACAAATTATCATGAAACTGATACAGAAATCTTAGACCAACGCCTAAAACGGTTTTAGCGCCACTGATTTATTTTTCATTACCAATAATTACGAAAAACACTATTGTCATACTCCGAAGATTGAAAGATGTATGATTACATAATAATCCCTTAGATGGTACATGTGTAATCCTCACCTGGAAGTTGGTAGTAGAGATCTTCAGGTACCGGATGGGTCGGTTTTCGAAGCTTTGCCCGGCTGTTACTAAAGTGACGAGTGTTGGAAATCTCACTGTCAATGCCTGGAGGTACGCATCCACCTATAAAATTTAGTTTTAGAAAAAAAGGTCAGTTTTAGTAGAAGCGAATATTATCATAAATCATCAACTACTACACCAAGTAGTAGTAGTAGTATTTCCGAACCAGTTCGACTTAGGGCCCTTCAAGAAAAGAGAGTACCGATTCTTAAAAGGCCGGTAGCACGCTTGCAAGCCTTCTGGCAGTGTGCGTGTCCATGAGCGGCGATATCACTTAAAATCAGGTAAACCTGCTGTACACCTTTATAAATAAGGAAAAATTACAGTCACAAATTTAAGATATTTAAAAAAATATATAAGATTTTAGAAGTTTTTTTTTTTGTTTCAGTCCTTAAATGTATCAATGATAAGATTTTTGTTATAAAACTAACTAACAACTTAAAATATAAAAAAACGATAATGTATAACAATAGAAAAAAACAATTAAAACGACTATTTTAAAAGGCGCTTGAAAGTAGAGGAGCATACAACACAACTTTGAAGAAGTGTTATAGAAATTACACATACGATGTATGGAAGCACGAAATCTGATGTTAGTCCATGTAAATACACGTTTATATTCGCAAATTTATTTTTATTAAGTGTAAAAATGGGGATGTATTATCACAATTTTTAAACAAATTCAGAAACAAAGCCTCCATTCGTGACATAATAATAAATAAGTACAATGCGATTCAAATGATAATAGGCTCGATTTATTGTATCATCAGAGTTGCTATGATAGGCTTAAATATTTATTTACAAATTATATAGGCCCTGGTAAATTGTACCGGAGACCCCAGAGCTGGTGCTTTACTCGAACGCATTAGTATCGCAATACAGCGACGAAATGCCAGCATTAAACACTACCACAGGGACCAGGGAAACTTTCTAATTTACTTTCGTTATTTATTTATTCATTTTTATTATAATTATTATGGCTCAAGATTTATAATTAAATAAACATATATTTAAAAATCGTTACTGCTAAACAAATTTTAAAATTGGTTTTATTTTTGTATTTATCAATTTTAACTATTATTACTATGTAGTTTAAAAATATTGCAATTTATACTGTATGTGTGTATTGGAAATAATAAAAAAAAACGTTATTGATACGCAAATAAGCAATTTGCAAACCATAATTCCAGTTGACGACCATAAGACAAACAACCATTTATGATCCGAATCCCAGTTTAAATGATGCAGGGTAACGAAATAATGCTCAATAAACATAAATTTTACTGGGCGTGGATGTGATACTAAGGAATTTCTTCTGTTGCACTTTTGACCTTACCTCTTCCAAAGTATGAATCTTATCAAAGGTCAAGCTCCCACTGGCAGGTGAAGACCTGCTTTTCACATCGGATTTGCTAAGCTTTTCGTGTTCAGCGTCCAAGTACCTTAAAAATCATAATAATCTTTAGTGTAGTACTACGAGAGCATGTAGAACATGTTTTTTTTTATTTACACAAGTCCCTTTTAATAAGTGAACCTATTTCCCTATGTCATATTTGTCACTATTATAAAAAAATACCTAGAACCGACTAAAACTATTAAATAAAAAGGCCGACAACGCACTCACGAGACCTCTGGCGTGATTGAGTGTCCATGGAAAGCGTTATCCTAAATAAATTAACGTAAAAGTAACTAAATCCCGACGCTTCGGCACGTGTTTTAGTAATTGCGTGTAATGTTTCAGTAATAATCGTGAAAGCTGTGAAGCTGATTACCCAACCCCTCCTATGAGATGACCCATCGATCATCTAGATCTGTCCGTCTAGTCGAATGAGCTATCCTTGAATATACAAAAAACAACGTCGAATTAACGTCGTTAATCTGTTTTTAAATGTCGGTTAAGAACATAGACTCCCGCGGCCATCTCTTTCTTTGTGATTAAACCAAAAATTACTATACGAATTTCAGCATTCTCCATTGCAGTACGAAATTTGTCCAACAAACGTGCAAAAATACTTGCAAAAAAATAATGAAAACAAACCAAATCTGTATGAATCACAAAGTCGAACAGAGATAAATTAAACGCTTCACTTCTTTGTACAAATTAAACGAACCTTTCGCTTAATTCACTTAAGACGGAGCAGTCTTGAATTTAAACGGTCCACAGATTGTTACAATCCGTTGGCGCGAACTAAAACTCTAATTTCATCTCATAATCTCAAGTCAAAAGATTTATGTATAAAATTTGTCAACACTTACTTGTCATTGGCATAACAAGAATGATCTCCGGTATGACACTAACAATTTTTGAAGTGAAACTTCTTTAGGCGCATGAGGGTAAAAATTTTACGAAACGTCACGAAGATGTGCAGCGTTTTTGTCGAAGAAAAGGGAGAGAGCGATTCAGACCGATTGAGAGAGTGAGAAGGGAAATTACCTTATAGAAATTCTCTTTTTAAAATTGAAATTTCGTAAAGAGATATTTCTATTTTATGAAAATAATTTTTGGAAATCTCAAATGGTGAATCGTAATTTAAAATGCCACGTGTCAATGTTTTACTATCGAAGAAATAAATTTAATTTTTTTTTAATTAAACTATGGTCGCATATTAAGAATAAGCGCTGATGTTCTTACATCAGCGCTTATTCTTAATAAGCACAGACACAAAAATAACAATAAAAACTGATTTTACACCCTTAACAGCCAAAAACAGTATACTACTTAATAAGTATTACGTATTTAAATAAGTATTTAACTTAGAGTAATTATATACTATAAATATGTGATATTAAGCGTGAGATATAAATGATAAGTTATTGCAAATTTTTTAAATAGATATCTCTGCAAAACTGTGAGTAAGAGAGGTGGAATGCATAAATTTCTGGGGAAAATTTATTAGCTAACTGACACATTCTCGGAATAGCAGCAGAGTTAGAAGGCCTGGCCGCGTCTGCGGAAAGAAATGGCAAAAGGTTTAATATGAAAAGAAAGAAGAATTATAGTTATTGAAAATAGAAAGAAGAAAATATATTTATTAAAAAATAAAGAAATCAAATCATGTTGTTGAATATTCCTACTGTTGTTATTAATCTGTGTGTTGATGTTAACTGAAGTATCATGAATAAAGTGAATTTCGTAACGAATTCAGGAGATAAAATGTACCCTGCTTCTTTACTTTTACTTTCATGTCGCTTCTATTGACACTAGTTTTTGATATATAATGGCAATCATAAAAAAAACACTTTATTTAAGTCTGTTGTCAATTATGGGTCTTAGGGTAAGATTTAGAGCCCAAGTCTTAGAGAGATCTATAACTCCCGTAAAAATCCAATAGGATTTTGACATACGTGTCAAATTCTTAGCCTAATAATAATAATAATTAAGGCAGCTTATTTTCAATTCTTCAAAATTCCAATTATTTCAAATATTTAAAATTTAGAATATACTGTTTAAACTTGTTGATATATCTTTTTTTTTTTCTTTTTCCTTCACCTCGGAACTCCAAATATCCATGGCTTTATTTCTCCATTCGCTTCCTGCTAACGCTTCTATTTCTTCTTCACCTTTCTTTACGGCGCCCTCTTCTCCTTCTCACCCTTGGTCCTTCCCATATAGTTGTCTTTAAGGTCCACCTATTATTGGTGTATCTTGCTATATGCCCCGCCCATTGCCACTTCTGTTTTAGGGCATAATGTAAGGCATCTATCACTTTTGTTTTTCGTCTTATTTTTTCACTTTTTACTTTTGTATTTTTCTCATTTTTAGTACGCTTCTTTTCATTGCTTTCTGCTCCTTTTAGTTTGTTTTTGTGTTGTGTCCCATTATTGTATAAGAGTATAAGACAATTAATAAAATTACAGTTTTTCATTTTATGTTTAGTGTACTTACTGTGTTTCATTAACAATTTCCTATTCGTTTTAGCGTAATCCATAATTCGTTAACGATTTATGTCTCTTGAGTAAATAATTAAATTTTAAAAAATTAAAAATTAAAAGGAAAGGCAAGGAAATTAAGGGGCATGGCATAAAAATGGTTTAGAACTAGTGTAGACCCTACCCATAACTGCTTCTTATGGTAATTTTTTCTTGAAAATACTAACCGATGGAACACACCATGTCAACCTAATAACGGCCTAACAAAGTGCGTGAAAATTGCTACATCTTGTACCAAAAGAAAGTGTACAAATCTACCCGTGGATATTACATTTAATTGAATATGGGATGAGTATACTTACGGCTTAACATCTTCCACTTCTATAGAATACTTCAAGCCATGAAACAGCAGTGTGGCTTCGACTAAGGGGCGTTGTTGCTTCGGGACCAGCACTATAGCTTCATTGCCCGGCGCTGCTCGCTGCCAGAAATCCAAACTGTTTGCAACCTCCAAATTGTGCAGTATCAGCGCTTGTTTTTCCGTTTTCACGGATATGCGATACACAGCATGTCTGCAATAAAGAAGCATGACTTTAAAACATCTTATAATTGTATCGAAATATAAATTAGTGGTGCTGGAGGCTAATGCTAATACCCTGGACTGCGAAGTGCACCAATAGATCGATCCTGACCCAACTCCGTATATGGACTCGCCTGTCTCAGTATGCCGACAGCGATATAATACTTTGGCCATACAGTGCGCAGAGGCGATGAGAACTTGGAGAAAGTGATCCTGGTTGGTAACACAGAAGGCAAACGACCACGTGGCCGTTCACCAACCAGATGGACCGATAGAGTGAAGGCTGATCGTCCTCAAAACTATACACTTTTATAAGAGAGGCGCTGTATATATAACATAATTCAAAATAAATTTGAACAACGAAAATGTTCTAAAGCAGCGTTTACAGCGTGACAGAGAATTTTTTTTTCTAGCCGTTCTGCGCCCTTACGGCCTGGCCACGGGGATCGGCGGTGCGAACGGCGATGCGGGAGGCGAGGCGACCATTCGCGCGGGGCCGTTTGCAGGCCACGGACCAGTCACGTTTGCCGCCGCGACCAGTAAGGAAGTTCGACAGCGAAATGTCTTTATCGAAATCATCTCGATATTGCTTGGAAAGTAATAGCTTTTGGTGCAAGACCTAATATTTGGAGAAATTGTGGAGAATTCCACAAGAAGTATGAGAAATTCAGAATATATCCAGAATTATTTTTTTGAGTATACCAGAATGAGTATTGCAACCTTCAATTATATTCCTATGAATATTCAACCAGAATTGGAGAAAAAAGTTAATGCAAATAGAATTTTAAGTGCCGCTGAAAAATTGTTTTTGAGATTAAGGTATATTAAATTAATGCTGTGGATGGCCAGACTTCCAAATAGCTGGTCTTAGCCAGTATTTCAGTAACAAAAAACTCTGTATTCATTTTTCGCCGCGACCACGACTAAACTTATTTATTCCCTTCTCTATTCGCCGCGACTGCCGCTCGACTCCGTGGCTTGCACCGTACTGATTCATGCATTTGTTTCGCTCGCCCGTCGCGACGTCAGTCGCCCGCGCGATTCGCTCGGTACATTTCGCCGGTCGCATCGCTGGTCGCCGTTGCGCGTGGCTTGATTAGTACATTGCTATGAGTTTATTTCAGTCGCTAGACGCATCGCGGTTCGCACCGCGCGAATATTCGCGTCAGCGAATGTCCCGTGGCCAGGCTGTTAATTGGAGAACTGTCATTAAATGTAAACAAATAATCACTTTTTTTTCATGTACCCCTCCGTCGCCTTATAACTTATGTAAACTGCTTTTTTTATTTATTTTTTATATGTATGTTTTTGTATATGACAAAGTGTAAATAAATATTACCTATGTGCCATGGTTAATTCCTATCAACCTACTAGCTATATTAGTTGCGCTATATATAGCTAATAGGCTATATTGAACTTCGTTTAAGAGTAAATATTCATTAATTCGTAAGCCATTCATTAAACACTTAAAATATTATAATGACCTAACCATAAATCCAATCTAAAATTAAACAATAAAAACTATAATTGTTTATGTCACATATAAATCAGATGAATCAAAAGAATCCTATGAATACGGAATTAGACTACTGTCCTGCGATTCTGTAACTCACTTTTCGAACTCACACAGCGGTTTTCGCATCGGCGGTCGCTCTCAAATCACTCGTGAAGCAGTAATTTTATGATTTTGCATTCTGAAAAGGTGGGAGCTTGTAGTTTATTGTTTATCAGAATGCCAAATCATAAAATTACTGCTTCACGACTGATTTGAGAGCGACCGCCGATGCGAAAACCGCTGTGTGAGTTCGAAAAGTGAGTTACAGAATCGCAGGGCTGATAAAGTATTAAGTAAACTCACATAGAAACAAGCAAACACACATAAACAAATACTACGCACTTGTTTAAAAATATACGTATTGTCTTTAACACACAAATATACAGTATTTACAATAAGTCTAACCTACATAGTAATAATAATAAATGAAAATTGATAAATGTAAAATTAAAACTTCAAAAGTTTGGTCCCTGTGGCAGTGTACCTTTAACGCTGGCAGCATTTCCTCGCTGTATTGCGATACTTATTCTTTGAGCAAAGAAAGCACCATAGGCCGGAAGATAGTGACACAAAGTAATTTGCGTATGCGTTTGGTATGGCGGGCTGTAAGTCACTCCGGAGAAGTATGGCATGACACTGCCGCCTCTTATTTTTTTATGGACTATCGGAAAATACTAGAATTTTTGTGGAACAAATCGTTTAAAAGTCGTAAACAATCCGACGAGTTCGAATAACGCCTACGCGCTTAGGCCGCCGGTACCAGCGCTATGACCATTAAAATTCTTTTTTTATTTCGTAATAAGACCCCTGTAGAACCGCCATACTGGTACAAATGACTAACTATTTTGTGTCACTATCTCCCGACCTATCAGCTCTGGGTTCACCGGTACTATTTACCAGGCGCCAACATAAATCTTTAATTAGCACTTAGTATACTAAACTTACCCTTCATACAACTCATATTTAGCAAGAACAACACCGAAAACAATTAAGCAGATCGCGTAACGCAACATTTTAGTTTTCTATCTGTATTATATTAAATTAAATTTTATAATTTTGTAAAATATTTGATTATCTTAATCCGTTATAATTCATAGATAAATAAAACGTGACTGATATAGTAATGATTTTGAAAAAAAGGCTGTATCTCGGATAATTTTGGATTAATTATTTGGGGTTACATGTGATTAGATAATCCAGAATTTAATTATTTGTATTGAGTAATTTGCCTCTATAGAGTTAACCATGTGCATGCATGCGATTCATTCATTTGCTTAAAAAAATATGTTTATTATGGAACACTTATTCCACACAGGTATACAGGTATCACTTATTCCACGTCATTAAATTTGTATCTGTCGACATCCCTACTCATCGGCAAAGAAGGCAGAGGGTGTAGGCCGAAAAAGTAAAAAGCCGAAGTACAAAAACTCTCATAGCCCAATACAGCTTGAGAGAAAACATTGCTAGCCACGGGGTAGCCGTAAATCCAGAAACTTACTCTAGTCAGGAAAAAACGCTGAACCATTGACTACATAAAATAAAACAGAAATTGTTATCACTGCCTGTGTCTCTCTTTTTGGGTAATCCTTTCGAGCCAGAGAGTCGCAACGGTCAGACCTTCGTAATTTAATAAAAGCTGAAAATTTCTCCAACACAGGTAAGACGGGTAACAGGTGAGTTGTACCATTATTGTACTGCCTTAATACGTGCAAATAATATATAAGAAAACCGTCAATTACTTAATAAAAATAAGGAATTCTGTGCAGAAATGGATTTACGGTTTTCGCACTACGTACGGTGAAGAAAAACATCTTAAGGAAACTGCCACACCTTAGACCCTAACGGATTGCCTATTAACGAAAATATAATCATGAAAAAGTCACAGAAATCCAAGCCGAAACTTACAGGTTGAAAAGCATTTGTTTTTTTGAGCCTACTCGACACCCGTAAAGTGCAGGCATCACCCATCGACACACATTTTAGTTGACGTTACCGGATTTTAAATGTGGTTATAGAATCTTTACATAGGCATAGACATAGACATATCATTTATTACAAAACAAAAACACAAACACGTAAACACACAAAATAACAATAATCAAAGAAAAAATTAGATCAAAAATATGATGACAGATATATATAAAAAAATCTCCCTTTTCCCATTCGGTTCGTTTCAAGTGTGCAATGCATGTGTGCTGTGGCTGTATTCGGCCCTGGCTCAGCATTATGCTGAGGAGCAGACTGTTCCACAGCGCTGGTCATTCTGCCAGAGACAACAGCAGCTAGTTTGCGCCTCAGTCGCAAAAAGGAAAGAAAAGGAATGTAATAAATAATAATACTAAGTAGAAAAAAAAACAATAATGATAATATTAGTAAAAGTTAGTAGTGTAAGTAATGAAGGTAAAGGTGTGTAGTAGTTAAACAAAATTAAAAGTTAAAATTAAGAATATTTGTGTTTTTGTGTTTTTTTTGGCGGATTAAAAACTAGATTTCGTGGGATTTTTGTTGAGTCAGTAGATGAATCTTATAGCTGCGACTAAAATTTGACTTTAATTGAAGACTTCAGCGGAGTAGGGATATCATTTCAACACTTCGTCGCGCTAAATTTAAAACTCCCACGAAATTATTTATGTTAAAAGTTTGAATGTTTTTATTCATAAACATTTATATACCTTTACTTAATCTATTTGCATCGACTATTAACTGCAATACAACATTAAAGCCTGCAGCTGAGTTTCGTCATCGGACGTCGAGGCAGAGTACGAAATTCCACCCGTATCACCTCGACGTCCGCCGTTCCACAACTGAGCGTTTTTCAAGGCAGTTTTTGCCGCGCACCACTACTTTGTGGAACCAGCTGCCCACTGAAGTATTTCCGAACCAATTCGACTTAAGGTCCTTCAAGAAAAGAGCGTACCAATTCTTGAAAGGTCGGCAACGCACTCGCGAGCCCTCTGGCATTGAGGGTGTCCATGGGCGGCGGTATCAATTAACAGGAGGTGAGCCTCCTGCCCGTCTGCCCCCTGTTCTATATAAAAAAAAAAGATAATAACAACAACAATGTATGATAAATAGAAGTAATTTAACAAATTACACACAAATATATAATTTATTGTCTCTATGTAAACTCCATACGTCTCTTATATATCTAAACAAGTGGTACATGTTCCCCTACTCGTTACGCCATTAAAATATCCTAAAAGTTACGAGATAAAATTTATTATACCGTCTAAGTAGGCGCATTTTAAATGTATGTTTGTGTTGCACTCAACACAGGCCCTCCTCCATTGTTGACCCCTGCATAACGATGCTCTCAGCTTACAAGCCGACTTTTATATTACACCGCACACTAATGAGGATACTATCTAAAATAGACTGTTTTGTGTATGGTCCTCAGGTTGAGACTTTTCAAAAATACAGGTTTTTGTGGTCTATGTGGTTTTAAAAAACATTATTATTAGATATTAGGGTACACACAGTCTTTCCAGGGTAATCTATAAAGTACACTTTTTTCGCAAACTAATTTTTAACTCTTGTTCATATTAATATGAAATGAAATGAAATAGTTTATTCTTGCAAGTAGGACTATATAAATCACTTTTACAATGTCTTCCTAAACTAGATGAAGTCGACATTTCCTAACTGACTGCCCTGAGAAGAAATGTCGAAACAAACTCGGGGGTCTTAGTCTCTTTTATAGTCCAGATAATACAATAATAAATTAATAAATTGGTGTAAACAAATGCAGAGTATTTACTGGACTGGTCTTTGGAAGAAAGAACCAGATCGATCTGAGCAAGCCTGTGCCAGCAGACGGCAAGCACGCCCCGAATAGCTCATGCAGCTCAACCATTTTTGAGGGAGCTGCACAACCCGGTACACAACAATACCGCCAGTGGCACCATAAAAATATGTGGGGCAACAACTCACTCAGTTCGCCAGCCCAAAATAACTATATACTAAAATGTATCAAATTATAAATCAAGCAAAAGAGTTTATGATATACCCGCATAATGTTTACACTTACAATGGATACAAAATGTATTTTTAAGGTGTACCTTAAAGCAAGGAAAAAATAATGAAATTGAAAAATACAATCGTAATATAAACATTATTCACTTGGCATGTCAAAGTGTAAAATATTGTATGCATAAGCACAAAACATGTCAGTAATGTAGAGAAAAAAAATGTAAAAAAATGAATATGCACTAAGCACAAACATGTCAATAGAATAAAATAAAATGCATATGCAAAAGCACAAGACATGTCAGATTGTAAATATGTACAACATGCAAAAAAAAAAAGTGAAAGACAGCTTAAAAAAAACACAAGCGATAGCTGTATAAGCGAGCAGCTCAATCCCAGGCGTTTCTATCATTTATACAAATCTAAAACTTTAGATTTCCGAGACTTAGAGGGAGGGAAAAAGGATGTTAGGAATTTAATGAATTTAATTGTCATTAAAATATTAAAAGTGTCGAAAATTAATACAAATAATAAATTTAATTTCTTCGATAATAAAAACAAGTGGCATTTTAATTTACAATTCGTCATTTGAGATTTCAATAAATTATTTTGCATAAAATAATTAATAGTAATATTTCATAAATTCCGTTTACGAAATTTTAATTTTAAAAAATATAACTTCTATAAGGAAATTCACCCTTTCTCACTCTCTCTCAATCGGTCTCAATCACTCTCTCCCTTTTCTTCGACAAAAACTCTGCACATCTTCGTGACGGCGTACAGTTGAGGCAAAGAGAACCGGAAAGACTTGGAAGAGGTGAATCAAATCAAATCTATGGTCGCCCTCTGCCCTATCTAGGGGTTTACGTCAAGATTTAGTCTTAATCAATTACGATTAAACAAAAAGTTAACAATTATTACCATACTTTATTAGTCTTCACATTCGAAATACCATTTTTAAATGTTTAAAAATGACGCCAACATCTTTTTTTTATTGATAAAAATACACACAGGCACACTGATACATTGATAAAACAACCACAAAATACAATTTTTTATGTGACAAGAACTTAAAGGCAATGCCATACATGTAGAGATCATACAAATATTAATAGAAACTAATAAAAAATTAAAATGACAAAAAACTAAACAAAAATCGATTTTTTAGTGTGAGGGAAGCAACTATGGACATCCAGACCTAGCTCGTTTATAAGAATGCTTAATCTGGACATCGGTGAGCTTTGACCAAAACGCGTTCTACGGAATGGAGGGACAAATGGAATAATGGGATGCCTGGGGTATTGAGAGGGTACACGAAACTTAAATTTAGTAGGTACTAACTCAAAATCTCTTAAATAATTTTCACTTCATCAAAAATTCTATTTCCATCGTGTTGGACAAAACACTGCAATAATAGAATATTAAAGTAGGCGAGCCGTGGTAAACCTTATTACACTTTAAACTTATAAAAGTAGTGAAAAATAAAAAGGAAAGCCGGCATTATAACAGGATATTAAACCATTAGCGCGTTCAAGAGTTTCCGAAGAAAACAATTCCTTCTCACAAAGTTTCAATCACACCGAATTGTATGCACAATTTAAAATTATTATTTTTCTGAACGTAGTCGACTCGTATACAGTTTGGGGTTTGAAATAAATCTGTAAATTTTTACTGCCCCATCGGTCACTTATTGGTTAGTTTGGCTGCATGTCGAGTCCATCTTACGATGACGAGTAGCAGCGAATTCGCGTTACCCCGCATCGGATTAGGGTAGGATAGGTAGGTAGGTATACATTTTTAATATTAAGTACATTTAGCAGCTAGTTACTTCTAATTATTAATTGGAAAATTATCTATGATGCATCGATTCTTATTTTATTCTTGACGTATATCGATTTAAGTAACTTAAAATATGTATTTAATGACTTTAATATCATAGGTCATCAACATATCATCACTTTAAAAAGGTGTAATAAATTTGTATATTTTAGCTGGGAACCCTGACACAGTTATTTTTTACAAATCCAAAATGGTTCCCAAACCTTACACATTCTAATGAATTGTTGTTAAATGAATAAACAAATTTTTTATCCTTTAATTTTATTTAATAGTAGAGTCGTCTCATAAAACAAAAATCTACGAATGTAACAATAATCGATACAATTTACTTAACTACACTCGGGTTCGTGTCGGTGTAAGAAAAGTCGTATTTTATTCTCAACTCGTTCGCTATTTCTTCAAACGACATATTCATATTTAAATTTATGACGAAACTTGGACTGGGCGAAGGAATAACTCAGACTATTGTAATAGTTTGTTAACTCGAAACTTCAACGTTTTGTACTACGTTCTTTGAATAATAAAAGGAATTTACCGAAATTAAGTTTTAATTCATATTCGCTGTGTTGTAATCCGATAAGTGGCTTAAGTGTGAGAAATATATTTTTAAAGTGAAACTTCTTTAGGCGTATGAGGGTAAATTTTTTACGGTTACGTCACGAATATGTGCAGCGTTTTTGTCGAAAAAAAGGGTGAGAGCGATTGAGACCGATTGAGAGAGAGTGAGAAGGGCGAATTACCTTGTAGAAATTCTATATTTAAAATTTAAATTTCGTAAAGAGAATTTATGAAATATAAGTATGTATTTTATAGCTTATGCAAAATAGTGTTTTTACGATCGAAGAAATACATTTAAAAAAAGTATAATTTGTATTAATTTTAGATTTTTAATATCTTAATGACAATTAAATTCCTAGCATATCTTCCTTTTTCCCTCCCTCTAAATCTCGGAAATCGAAAGTTTTAGATATGTATAAATATGAACAAGACAACAACATTTATGAGTGTTATATGAATTAACTTCGAGTAGGATTGTCTCTGTTTTACAAAAAAAAATATATTTCACACAATTAAGCCACTTATCCGGTGTAGAGAATAACTGTGCCGTCTAAGGAATAGCGGTCCTGTGTAGAAAATAGCGTTCCCGTGTAGTGAATAGCGGTCTCGTTTAGGGAATAGAGCTACGATTTCCACGATATCAACGATACGGATATCGAAATAACTTCATCGAAATTGAATGCATTTAACATTTTATAATATTTTTATCATTGACGTTTATAAGTGTACATTGCAATATAATCTTATCAGCCTTGTTTGATAATAAAACAATTTTTTACCGGATTGAAGTTATGTATTTACAATTTTATCTGCCTTGTCACAACGCTTGTCTCTTTTGGGCCAAAGGTTTGTTTGTAGCCAAGATATAGCGCTAAGCATGACTCCGGTATGTCAAAAACGTATTGGACTCGAATCATAATCTTACTAGACGGTTTGCTTGCTAGGGGTTGGTTCCTGCTTGTGTTCTATAAAAAAATACAGTTTTTGTTGACGTTGTTAATAGTGTAATTGCAATTCCATCCAAGAACAAATATGTTGAAGTACACGTGTATAAAATTCTATTTGCGTTGCCATTTTAGTACTTACTAATGGTAATAAATAACTTAAAAATTCCTAGTTTATCAAGACGGTATAAGGCTGTGTTTTAAAAAAATCAAATAGCTTGCAAATATATTTTTCTCTAATAGTTATAGTTACACCCACTATTAGTTATAGTGATTAAAACGTGCGTTCAAACTCCAATTCTTCATTAATCACACGTTATGGGCAGTTAAAAGTTGTTCGTACTTTAAACGCATCGTAAGGTAGCCGGCACATGTTATACCCGAAAACAAGATTCATGAACGACTATTTAAATAAAACACGTAATCTAACCCAAGGAGCCATGAAGGGTTGTCACGTCACTGTATAAATTGTCGAAATAACCCACAACACAAATATGTGTGAGACCACTCACAAGTTCAATACGCGCAGTAAATAACAACCGAATTATATATTCGCCAAAGATAATTACTAGATGTTCTTCGTAAACAACCAAAATAAACCAATTATAAATATTTCCATACCTTTAGTTACAAAGTCTGATAACTTCATAATTAACAATACACATTTAAATTGAATTATTTCTGAATAATTATCTCTATTGGTAATTAATATGTTTTAATTGTACAGGGTGTCCCGTGGCAGATTTAGGATTTCAAATTCGAATATTTTTCTAACGGTTGCGCAGGGGACCAGGGAGGGGTTACAGTTTGGCGCTGCAATTGTGCGGATTGTTCAATAACGATGTCGCAGTGGACTGGCGCGCACCGCGCTTTCGCAGTTGAAGCGTATTTTGAAGCTAATAAATCGTGCACTGTTGGTCGCCGAAGATTTTGTTCTCACTACAATATTCGTCGCTTAAGTGAAGCACCGAGAGAAAGTTTGATTAGGACGTGGGTCCAGAAGTTCCATGCAACAGGTTCAACAGTTAACGAGCCAAGCCCAGGTCCTAGCCGAACGTCCAGGACTGCACAAAACATTGAACGCGTTGCAAACAGTGTGCAAGAAAATCCCCGCCAGTCAGTGCGTAAGAGAGCGTCAAGTTTGCGCCTTCCAAAAACCAAGGTGCACCGTATTTTAAGCTTGGACATTAAATTCCATTCGTTCGAGATCCAATTGGTACAGTCACTTAAACCAAATGACTTCAGAGAACGCAAAGAGTTCTGTGATAACATGTTAAGCCGATTCCGAGCTGTTAACACCATTTGGTTTAGTGATGAAGCTCATTTCCATTTGAATGGCTTATAATGTCAATAAACAAAACTGTCGCTATTGGGCGCCAAGAGGACAAAACCCGCGATTGAAACACCAAAAAGCATTGCATAGCCCAAAAGTAACTGTTTGGGCAGCTCTTTCTGTCAATGGAATAATTGGATCGATTTTCTTTGAAAATTCTCGTGGAGCAACCGTAACTGTTGATGGTGATGTCTATCGCCGCATGCTTAATGAGTATTTTATACCGAAACATAGAGAACATCCATCGAACAGCTCTCATACGTGGTTTCAACAAGATGGCGCCACGCCTCACACATCAAGAGCCACCATGAGCCTCTTTCGCGAAGAATTCCCCGGAAAATTGATAAGCCGATTTGGGGACATCGCATGGCCACCCAGATCGCCAGATCTCACCCCATTAGATTTTTTTATGGGGTTACTTAAAGGGAAAAGTGTACGACAGTAACCCGACAGATCTAACGGATTTAAAAGAAAATATCGTGCGAGAAGTGAATGCTATTCCTCGGTCAGTTTTGGAGCACGTCACTCAGAATACTCTAATAATTTGTACAACGCAAATACATAGTCAACATAACTAACATCACCGCATACACGAATTCAAGTACGACCAGTCACCACAACTAGCACCCGTTCACGAGTATGACGCATGGCCAGCCATCGGCCCTCTCATCTGTTCTGCAAACTACTTAAGCATTCCATTTCGCATTCTTGTCATTACGTCCTCTTTTAATCCATATTGTTTATCAGCTTACTTACACTTAGTTTAAGTGGTAATATAACACAGTAGATATTATTAATACTACCACCATATAAACCAACCCTTACGTTCGGAATAATATAAATGTATACGATACAAATACAAATTAAGCATGTTCTTTTTAATTTTAGCTTTGGCACAGACCGTGCACAGTGTGTATGTCGTTTCCCTATATGGCGATGTGTATAAAGACGTAGATTTTTTCACTAAAACCTTTCCCTGGGTAGTGGATAACATCGGAGGCGATATAAGTGTAGACTATTACCTTCTGGGAAGTGGAAGGTATTCAGTACCTCAGATGTGTGCGCTTGAGCAAATGAAGAGGAACACGTTCTTGCAAGCCCAGTTTTTGAAGTGTGAGGCCGAAGGTACATGGGTCAAATCAAATAATTCATTATTTTTAGATTTAAATCTCTATATATATAAAATTCTCGTGTCACAATGTTCGTTCCCATACACCTCTGAAACGGCTCGACCGATTCTTATGAAACTTTTTATGCATATTCAGTAAGAAGTCTGAGAATCGGCTACTATCTATATCACAAACCCCCTTTGTAATAAGGGGTGTCCACAACAATTTTTTTTTGATAATTTTTTATTTTTTATTATGTGTTATTAAAAAATTCATACAACCCTTAATCTTCAACCCTCTACGATTAACCCCTATTTTTTATTATAGTAGATAGTTATTTTTATTGAACTAAAAAATGTTTCCTATTCATGGAAAAAAAAGCTATATCTTGCCGGGTCAGCTACTAATACTATATAATGGTTTTCAACGAAATTTCTTCTTCTTTTGGTACCATTACTGGAGGTCGGCCGTCACTTTCGTGAAGCGTGGCTTGTCCTGTGTCAGATGCAGCAACTCTTCCGCAGTCGCAATACCCGTCCAATCCCTAAAGTTGCGAGTCATGATTTATTGCTTCCACCAACACGTCGTTTTTCCTGTATTTTACACATATGTACCGCCATTTCTATTCTATTATATATTTGTTTTCCCTGAAGAAATTATGTTTGTCCCTTGGGTGGATTTTGGGACTTCATTCCCGATACATAATACCATCATAATTTTGTGTTAGTTTCACTGACAAGAATTTTATTATTTTGACACATAAAAAACCATCCAAAGATGAAGGAATGGTCGACCAAAGTAAGATGGATATTAGAGGTTACCTCTTAAACGCTACATATACATATTTTGAGTTTTTTTGTTAATTATTTATGCACTTCTTGTACTCAACCCTCTGTAGGTTTCTTCGTTTCTTTTTTATTGTTCAACATTAGTTGCCTGGAAGAAATCGCTTGTTAGCGATAAGGCCGGCCGTTGCCTTATAACTTTTGTAACCAGCTTTTTTATATTTTTTTATAGGTATACTTTTAAATAAGATAATAATGTATAAATAAATATACTTGTTTCAGGCACCACCAGCACCATATGTTTATGTGAATCAGGCATTGATCCGCAGAAGTATCAGCACTGCGTCCTAACAAAAGGATTCTACGCCAGCTTTGCTTCAAACAAATACAGCCAACTCGGTCTAGACGCTTCTCCCGTTATCGATGTGGGCTATAAAAATACGGTGTTTGGCGTAGACGAGAACTGGTATCTGAAGAAAATATGCACGATATTTGGAGACAATCCACCAAGAGGCTGTACTGAACCGTTCGCCTGCAATTCCACTTCAGAGTTTAGTCACAGAAAGGGAGTTGCTAGTTTTAATTGTAATAGCATGAATGACTGCAATTTGCCTGTGACCGCTGTAACTACGACCGGAAAACCATATACGACAGAGAATAATATCTATCGATAAGCTGTTAAATTGTTTCAAAATTAAAAAAAAAATTGATAAGAAGAGATATTGTATTTGTAACATTGATGTTATGTACAAATTTTATTTTTACTCAAAAAAAACAGAAATATTGTATTACAAAGAAAAATCCAGTTCGAATTAATTAGTTTAAAACTCGATTAGATTATTTAAAATCAAAGTTTATAATCAAAAAATGTTTCTTCCGAAAAGAAAATTTCTAATTTAAACATTCTATTATCATCAATTATGCTTGCATTAATAATTCCGGCAGTAACAATAAATTTACTGTTTAAGATATTAATTTCTCTCATTACATTAACATTCAATGCGGAACAGTGGCCTAGTGATTTCAGCGTGCGCCTCTCATCCCTGAGATTGTAGATACGATCCCCACGCACATGTGAAGAATATTATTTAAAGTAGGAGATCCTAAACGAATCGCCTAAGAAGGGTGAGCTGTGAGTTGGAATTTCCAAAATGTATCTTTTTGAGGAGCGTAACATTTTTTTTTTATATTTATTTATTCAATAAAATACATACAGTATTAAACCAACACAATAATGTCGAAAAAAGTATATAATATTAAATACAAAATATACACATTATCGCTACTATGAATTCACTCTGCGAACATATAAAGATGTCGATAGTGTCGGAGACAGCATTCAGTAGGCGCAACGTCCTTGTTAACGGGGATCTGTGCAACAGACTGGTTCTGGCTGTTGGTATCGCAAATAGGCCTTCACACATATACCTATATATTAATCTGTTTTCATATGATTTCTTATTACATTCAATTTGCATCATAAAACGCAAGTTTTGTGTCTCTGTTAGTTATTTTCAGTATTCAAAATAGCGAATTTGCAAAGTTGGAATTATTCTTAGTTACGAAGTAGGTAATTTGTTGGAGTGCTCTTGTATCTTGTATAACATTAGCAAAACCAACACTCGTTTGTCATACTAACATATGTATATTTGCCATGAATTGTAATTCATAGTTGTACCTCTGCGTATGCTTATGCATGCCTTGGTTTGATTCTCGGCAAAACAATAATTGGTTTTTTTTATATAACAGGCGAGAAACGGGCACGAGGCTCACCTGATGTTAAGTGATACCGCATAGACACTTATATAGACATAACCAGAAGGCTCGCCCTAAGCCGAATTGATTCGAGAATACTTTAGTGGGCAGCTTATACCATATAGTTGTGGCGGCAAAAACTGCCTTAAAAACGCTCAGTTGTGGAAAATATATGATGAAGTATCGGTAATGGTCTAGTGATGTCCCGATAATCGATATTAATGTAAGAACGTACATCTAATAGAGTCTGCGATGCACGCTCGTAAATACGGAGATTGCCTCACAAAGAAGTGCTGTTCTTGATCGACATCGATAAATTTTTATTATGAGTTTAAGAGTTAAATTAAACTAAATGCAAATTTTTAAATGCTTATCGCTGTCTGCTCTCGGAGTTGTAATAAATATGGTCTAGGACAATGTTTTTGTAGATCTTGCAAATATTTTACGAGGTGCGTTTAAATTAATTGATAATGAATTTTTGAAGTAATACCTACTACTTTTGGCGCGTTAGGGAAAAATTATGAGAGTTATTTGAGAGTGACGATGCGGGCGCACACCTTCACAAAAAACCGACACCCTGAATATCTGTTCAAACGTCGGTAAAACAGTTGGGGACTCTAGTTGGCGCTTACTCTGTTTTATCGACAAGTTGCATTGTCTGTCATGGCGTAGTGTTTTTTGGAGTCGTGTTTATTTAAACCAAAATAATCATTTCTATACCAAAAACCCGTTTCAATGTGAGAAAAAAACATAGTGTTTATTGTAAAATATCATGATTAGTACATATATCGTTTCGATTGGAAGTGACCATTAAAATGGACAAGAAAAATGCAATTCGTAGAGGGAAACGTCCTTCTAAAGTGCTCGAAGAAAGTTATTACACCAAAGAAGTATAACTTCTAACGCGTGTACATAAGAACACACACGTTTTTTGCAAGATTTCAAGCTGTTGATTTAAAGAAAAGACTATGTACAGCTTTCCACCGAGTGAACTGTGAAATGTGTGATTAAATTTATATGTATTAAATGTCAGGAGTATCTGTATAATATGTAGTGTATGTATGAGCAAGCCGCACTAGATAACTATATATATGAGAGGGTCAGATGTAAGAACCTAACAACCCTACGGACCCTAAGTTATATTGCTTTATTCATTTTCGCTTTTTTAAGTTATATTGCTTTATTCATTTCGCTTCCTCCAAAGTGGCGAAGACTACTTCAAGCCCTTAATTATCGTGGTGAGCCTGCCCGGTAGCTTTGAGATAATCCCACCACCTCGAACCTTTGATCCTACCCATAGGGCTCCGTCTGTTACCTTAGGTCTCTTGTTGCAGACGTCCCGTACTTATTTATACATTCACCATTTACGTGGGTACGTCATCAAGTCAAGTCAAATCTGAGGACCAAAACTAAAAGGTTGTACTGCCATTGTTTTTATTTAATATAAATTGTATACTATAAACAATGGGTACATCACTATGCCAGTAATATATTGAAGGAGTAATACATCACGGTAAACCCACTAGAGTTATGTCACCTGGGCCTGAATACAGCGGTTTTAATGCACATTATTATAAGTTTTATTTTTATTTCATTTTTGCTCTCAATCATCACACACAAGGAGAACAATGAGATGTCAGTTCCTATATTGTACAAAATTGTTATAATACTATAGCCTTAACTAAAAACAATAACTGACCTTAAAATATAATAACTACAATATATTATTAAATAGAGCCCATCTAGGCAAGGTTCCGAAGATACTGGCAGCGTTCCCCCTTTGAATAGCTAGACTAAATCTTTGTCCGAGGTAGCTGCTCTTCGGTCTCCTGTGATGTCGACTAACCTTTTTCCTCTTTCCTTAAAAAGCCTTATAGCGCTAGGACCCTACGGACCAAGGGTCTCGGACAGTGAAATTATAAAAATGTGTTAAAGAAATGATATACACGTGTGAAAACGACATGAGAACTTAAGAAGGCGCAGCGCTAACCAGATCTATGAACTTCCTCACAATCGAGTAGCCCGCGATATCGCAGCACAGAACTCACGAGGGGACTGTTTGTATTGAAGAAGTTGCATGGGTTCGGCAAGCATCCGCTAATATACACTGTAGGAATAAAGACAATAATAATAATAGAAAATAATTATCAACAAGGTTTCTAAAACATCTCGGCGAGATGCCGATTCGTTTTTCAGCAATCAGGCAGAACAATCGACGAGGTCATCTCCGAGACAAAAACTATATGAAAATTCATAGTTACTTTTTTGGATTATCACTAATAAGTTTTTATCAAGTGCGTACTGGACACTAGAACTAGGCTTGCGTCTTTTATGTTAAAAAATCTAAATATATAAAACAAAGTCGTGTTAGTTACACCACTTATAACTCAGGATTGGCTGGACCGATGTTAGTTATCTCTTTTTTGGTGGATTATTCTCTGCTCCGAATAGCAGAATAAGGAATAAAATATCTTATAACTTATCGAATAACAATAAATTTGATTAATTTTACGAATTCAAACACCATGTGGTGCCATCTGTTGACAGAATTACGCACCATTTTACATCAAATTCGTGTCAGTTCAAGAAATTCCGATCTTGAGGTGAATGAGGAGATGCATAACCAGCTTTATCGAAGACATGTGTTACCTCATCAAAAAATGTTGTATATCAGAAAATGCTTTATCACGCAGTATCGCAATATTGGCGCTAGAGAGACGAGACCTAATGTGTAAAACTGCCATTCTTGTTTCGCAATGGCAAGCAATAAAACATTTCTGTATTTGCAAAAAAAGTTGTATTAATGTTATCCTTAATGAAATCCTACATTAAGTTTAACTAAAGTTAACACGAAATTATTAGACTGTTAGGCGGAACAATGTTAGCCGGGTCAGCTAGTAATTAATAAAATAATATAATAAATAATAATGATCGCGCCTATGAACTTCCTGTCACTCATAAGGAGAAGAAGAACATGGTGACGAAACCTGCATGTCTTAGACGCCAAAAGTCGACGGAATGTGACAGGCTGATCACCTACTTGCCTATCAGGAAAACTTCAATGTTCATAATTAAGTTTTAAATATAAAGGCTATTGTTATTATGTCGTCGACTATGGACTGCATGTATACGTCGATAGGTTAGTTACCTTTTAACCTGCATGGTGTTAGGTCAGCAGAAGCAGTATTACTATTTTTAAAAGGCCGAAATGCACTCGGGGCCATTGAACTTACAATTAAATTAAAGCTTAAACATTTATTACAATAAAGAAATAAACTATAGCATAAACTATATTAAAATTCAAAACGTTTTGCTTAATACAAAAATACTTTTTCTATTAGCCCCAAGGCTAGAAGCAATTTCATGCTTCAAAAACGGTAACACAAAACCTGTTTAAACATATTTAGGTAAAATTGTGTATTTCCCAACACTGATCCTCTTCAAATAGACGACACAAAGTTGAAATTGAATAAAAAACGAAACGTTTCCGTGTTTTATCCTCAAACTTCCAGCGGTGTAATTTGATAGCTTTTTAATCATACGACACGATTAATAATAATAACTCGTCAAATAGAATTTCCTGGTCGCAATTAAGTCTTCTCGTACTGCTCACATCGTGATGCCAGCATGCCTTAGACCAGTTTTCCCAACGTGGGGCAATTTGACTGTTAAGAATTGAAATATTGAAAATTTCTTAAAATTTAGAATTCAAATTCCAAATAATGTAAATATAAAGAAAAACAGAAAACCATAATATATGTTTTGAAAAATTACTTAGTGTGTCGTATAAATCATGTTATTATTTAACAAGAGAGTAAGAGTTTCTTAAGTGAACAATTCAATTTTTTATATCAAAAATTATGTACTTAGGGGCGTGAATAAGAGTTTTAGGTGGGGCATGGCACAAAAAAGGTTGGTA